TATATATATATATATATATATAACGTTGCTCTTTTACTATTGTCTGGAAGGGGCCCACTTCTGTTGTGGGGCCGATTTCTTGGGTGAAGCCATTAGAAGCTCCGTCTTTTGACCGTTTCGGAGCTCCGTGTTGTTTTCCTGCTGTAACGGCAGCAGTGGTCTCGTCTCTGCCGTCTCTCCTCCGGCGGCTGAACATGTCGCTCGTTCTTATCTCGGGTTCTTCTCGTCCTATCCCGGTTCTATTTTCCGATCGCCCGGGCCGTCTCCTGGAGCTCGGAGCACCGGGCGGGGGCCGTCGGTTTGAGCCCTAACGCCAGATTTCTCGGGCTCATTCTTCGAGGGAGGGGGACGGCCCCCCTGCTGCCGCCGTGGCGGTGGAGGATAAGGATGAGCCGCAGTGCGATCCAGGCCCGACATTGCCCTCAGACCGCGATACTAGGAGGTAATCCTTTCTCCCTCCCTCGCGTTTGAATTCACTAGTGCAGTTCTTTTTCCCCATTTGCTATGCTTTCTCCTCGGTTTTCCTACCATCATTATGTAGCATTAGTGTGTTGACACCTTCAGTTGTGGAAAGTAGATGAAACCTAGGGAAATAGATCAATCATTGAAGGCGTTGGCAAAAATGTTATGCTTCTTCTTGGAAAGGTGCTGTTTTTGTTGAGGTAATATTACAATGTTGGAGAACTACTGCAAATCAGATGCTTTGTGTTATGTCTTAATCTAGAACTAAGAACAATCAAGAATAGGTCTTACGGGTTCATGAGACATCCATTGTTAGGAGGCTTCCACCATGGTGAGGTGTGGGAACGAGAAGTGTTAGCTTTACCCATTTGAATGGAGAGATTGTTTCAGAATTAAAGAACTATATATGCATAATTGAGTTTGCGTGGATGGTAAATCAAGAACATAGCTTAAGAATTGAGGTTGAAGGACTGAAAATATTCCTGTCGATCTATGCTAAAACAAGCACATCGGCCAGAACTGGTCAGTGTTGTATTTCCTGCTGGATGATAGTTTCTAATTGGTGTATGTTCCGACCTCTATGTAAGATATATGTCGCTATTCTTTAAAGATGTGTTCTTCTTGGCTCACATAAGTGCGCATTATTGGTATGTAGCTTTGAATTTGAACATATGCAACAACACATTGTTGTCTATATTCACCACCCATATAACTACAATTTTCTCCATTCATTTCCTTTTTTGGCCTTTGCAACCTTGGTGCCTGGAGTACTCTATTTGGAAAATACCAAGAGAATTTCTCTTACTCTGCATCTTCACTTGATTTCCCTTGGAAAAGGGAAATTGTTTGTGTTGGTCTTAGCAATTAGTACATCTAGGTTACCTACCGCCTTCTTGTTTTAGGTAAAAGAAGAAGGTCTACTGATCTTGGTTAGTTTGGTTACTACTCAGATCCTCTGAAGATCCATTCGCGTAGAATTAGCGTTAAGTAGGTCATCTATGACTATGACTCCTTTTGACGATCCTAGTTACTTGCTTCATGTCGCTTCGATACCTGCGTTGGGAACACAGATAATCCTCAAGTTCGCTGTGCAAAAAAGTATGCCTAGGTGTGAACTCGGTCTCCATGCTTCGTAATCAATAAGTTGCGTTTTAGTGTCTATCCTCTTTGAAAGCTTAAGCTATACAAAAGTAACACAACACACATTTCTCTTGCATGTATATATTTTCTCTTTCAGTTTTTGCTTCTGATCTTAAGTCCGGACAAGGAGACATTAGATTTGTTTTTCAAAGGTGAACCCTTCTTCTTGAATCTCTTCTTCCATCTTCTAGATTAGTTTATATATGTTTTCTTTGAGTATGCACTTTAAGGGTTTTTGAGCTTTTGTAGTTCATTAATATAAAACTTTAGAATGTAAAATTCTATATAAGAAGGTCATGGAAACTTGCAGTTTATGCTCTCCTTTATGATTGGATCTCATAATCAATCAGTATATATTATCTTGGGCAAGCTTGCTGAACTTTATAATCAATTGTTGAGACTACGTAAATCTTTGTTTCCCCCAGTATATATATCTATGCATTGCCTTGTTTCCACCATCCATGAAATGATCTGTTGCAGTATATGTCACGGTTGCTTGTTGCAGGAGGTGGGAAGGGGTGGTATCCCGGAACAAGGCTGGGGAGCGCGGCACCTACATCGATAGCATATACCTCCTCCTCACCTACTACACGAAGCCTGAATCCATGGCTGGTGGACGATGATGTGATGCGGTGATCAAACTTTAAGGTTAAGGAAGAGGAAGTATTAATGTCTTTCCTGATCAGAGAGCAAGAACTAAGATCTTTGTTCATCAGCAGAAAAGAATAACCTTTGTGCACCAACAGGTCTGTTCTTTCCAATTTTCTAACTATTCTTCTGGGGCTGATGGATTTGGTTTAATGATTCATTTTGAATCAAAGTGCAGACTGACTCGTCACAAATCTTGATATGTCTCGACGGTCCATAATAAACTGTGCATCAGAAAATGGGAAGCTTGTGATGCTGTTTGGGCCGGTCTGGCCCACTAGGAGGCCTGAGCCGGCCGTACCCACTTAAACGGAATTGGCTTCGAGGAATATTCGCTTGCTCGAGGAGTATCCGGTATCCCTTCACGAAGGCGGCATCTACTCACTGCCTTCCATACCATTTCATCTGCCGATTCTTCTTTTCTCTCTCTCGTTCGCGTGCTCGCTTATCTCGGAGTTCCTTCGGATCCAGGTAAGTTGAATTTGCCCTTAAAACACTTTGCTGCTCGTTCTTGTCTTCTTCTTTCTTTGATCGTTCTTTTCTTTTTGGAGCAAGGATGCGATCTAATTGATCGTGTCATTCTTGTACATCGGACTATTGATCGTCCACCGAAGATACACCTCCATCAATAAGAAAGTAGGACCGGCGAGACTTGTTTTTTGATTGAATGATTGGAGCAGTTGATGTTCCGTCCCAATCCTTTTCGATTATTGATGTAGTCTGCCAAAAGCTCGAGAGCTAATTACGTTAAATTAAATTTGGTTGAGTTTAATTTTGTATGACTCACGATTACATAAACTATCTATCTAAAGCTAGTTGTATTATTTCTCTTTTATTGTTTTACTGGCAATTGAATTTGTTTGGAGCAGAGCAGTTAGACACCAAAGATAAGAGCTCGAGATAGTTTCTTGTTTTAGGATAATGACTTTTATCTTAAAAGTGTTCCATTTTTTGCAGAAGAAATTATGAAACATTTAGGAACATTATTGTTATTCTTTTGGCTTGCTAGTTCTTGGAAAAACAAGTGTCGAGGGGAGTCAATTGCAGAGGTGTAGAAATTAGGTAACTTAGTTTGCTGATTCAAAGTGTCTAAACAAAAAATATCAGTTCGGACAAGGTGTATAAATATGTAAATGTTTCACATTCTCACCCATGCTGCAACTTAAAATCAGTGGTTTAGATTACCATGATACAACATTACTAACAAAGTGGCATTGTTTAAGATGATCCATCCTGAACAATGTAACTCCTTCCTGCATATTGGTTATTACACTGAAAGTTTCAAATTTCCATGAGGAATATTTGCTAAGTAACCTTAGCTTTCCAATCATGCTAACATAATTCAAGAATTGCAGGAAGAATGAATCAACCAGTTGGCACTTCACTTCAAGCACAACTCAGAGTCAATGAACTTCTTTTATTCAAAGGAAACAATCACACAGCAACAGTTAAGTTTTGGATTACAGTTGAGATGTCACTGAGTGGTTGAATGATGGTGCCATAATTCAGGCACATGAATTATCTTGTCAGTGCTTTTTTTGCTTGTTATGTAGAGTCTATATCCAAACATCACACACTTTTTTCATATTTTTTATTCCTCGATGGCTGCTGCCTCCAAGATTTCCTGCCAAACCAAATTGGGTGAATCATGGAGCTTAAATTCTACTCAGCAGCTTGTTGTTCACAAAATGTGAAGGAAGCAGTAGGCACATGATTGATAAAAATCGAGTAGATGCCTGCTTACACCATAGAATGTCGGTTCAATGTTATGAACTGGAGGCTGCAACTTTAACTGGCTTCATGGTCTTGAGAATACCCCTCATGTGCTCATATCCCATTATAAAAAACCCAATGCAATAAAGGAAACTGAGTTGTAGCTTCCCTAGTAAGTTATAAACGGCTAGAAGATTGCTTGCCACACCATTGTTCTTGTTGGTCAATGTCAATGGAGTTCCTATCATGAGCCATCCTGCCAAGCCAGTAGAGTAATAAAATGATTGATTTAGTTGCTAATGAGGGGGAAAATGCTTATCAATATCGAGGTTATTGTGCTTTGTGCTCACCTGCTTGCTTCTCTTGCATGTTGGACCACTCTTCAGGCTGAAGCTTGGATTTTGAAGCATTTATCAGCTCCAAAAGAGAAAGAATAACCTGCAAGGACAGCATTAGCTCTAGGTTTTGTTTGGCAATCAAGATTCAAAGTCCCAGAAAACCTTTCTTTCACAATTACTTTCAAGTTACAAACATTTTTTTCCTCAAAGCTTCTGTAGGTATGATTTTTTTTTCCCTCAGATTATTTATTGTTTGGCATTACATCAGTGTAAGAAGGTCCATATTTCTAGCCTAAATAACTCTGCAAGGTCACTCACAATGTGTAATTCTCTATTCTTCCTGCAATTTGCAATTCCTAGGAATCACTTTCTTCTTCACTGAGGATCATTACGAGTGTTGCACTTGATGAACCTAGAAAAAGCTCATTGTCTTGATGGATCGTCTAGTTGTGACTGTAAAGACTTGCTCATCAACAACGTCCAAGTATGAAATTCTGTAATGTTAGCAAACCCGAATGATATTTTGTGATGTCAAAGTATGATTTTTTATTTATGAAACTTACATTGTCTACCAAACCTCACTACTTCCCATGCCTGAGTTAACATGGGGACAAAACCAAAAACCATGCAGACCATAGTCCAAAATGGTCAAATAGCTTGCAGACCTCAATGTCCAAAGTCATGACAACAAAATCCATGATAGCATGTCTTCCTCCATTACAGTCAACATTACAAGTTCAAGATTTGTTATCAGAATATTTGGCAAATTTAGTCCAAATATTACAACCAGATCAGATAGTTGCAAAAGAACTCGACTAACAAGGTCCTTATATGTTACTTTTCCATTGCTGCTCATGCTACATTGGTCTGTGATTTTTAGGGCAATAAAATATGAGGTACATTCTTAAAAGAGACCTGATATATATATAGTAGGGGCCAGAACACACAGCTGATTCCAAGAATTATCATCCTCTGAAGCCCGAGTAGGTTTTACGGATAGTTATTGGATATAATAAATAAGAGTTGACCACATTTCACAGGTTATACTAGTGTGATGAAACCATAGTAAAAACAAATAGTTAAGCCTGAAGTCTTTCTTACAGATGATTCATACCTCATCTGGTCTTTCATGGCTCACTAAATGTCCACCATGAAGTTCCACCATTCTTGCAGCAGGTTGCAGCTTCTCTGCAAGTCTTCGTGCATGATCTAATTGAGCAATGATATCATACCTAAAAGTATCTCATACTTGTCATGATCTTGTCATGCTCCTTCAACAAAAAGGAGAGAATATATGATGAGTACAAACCTTCCATGTACAACTGAAATCAGGAACCCAGATGAACGAATTGTGTCGAGCTCTTTAGATGTCATCTTATGGTTCCAGCAAGCATTAACTTGGCCTTCAAAACCACAGTTTGATTGCAATCCGCTTGATGAAATAGCTTTTACGTAATCCTGAAGTAACCAAAAATTTGTAAGAGCTATCGTAAGAGCAAATGCACATCACATAAATTAAAAAAATTGAATGATAAATGTGTAGAGAGATGCATCAAGCTTGCTCACTAGAGAACAGCAGTGGGTATCAGTAATGAAACATTTTATAGTAATAACAGACATCGTGATCAGAACAAAAACTTGTTTTCATCATGATTAAATGCTCGGTCAATTATCAGTAATAAAAGAGAAGGTAACACTCGGACCAAAGCAAGCTGATAAGTAACAATGTTTCACTCAGGTGGAAAGGCAAATAATTTCCATAAGCTCAATATTTGTTTGCCAGTTAGAAATAAAGCTTTGAACTCATCATATACAAAACATAGATGATAGTATCATAAAATCAAGATTTTAATTCCTTACCATAACTCATTGACCCAAGTGTATTTCCTAACCATTATCCTTAGAGGTGATTTACAGGACATCTATGTGTTTCTTTTTCAATGAAAGATTTGGGTACCAATCAGTTTCTATTTCACTTTCAAATATCTGCCAAATCTATCTATAGAAATCTTATCAACATAGGCTGGAACTGTTTTCTTCTTGTCTTTTGTGATTCCATCTATTCAACTCAGACTATAACTGGAGTCAGTATTGGTTTTCACATTTCCTTTTGTTCAATTGGTACATCTCTCTTAAACTACACACGAAGCATCCTGAGTCCACTTTAGTTATTATATCTTTCAAACACTTCCAACACACTGGAAATATGAAAAGAGCTCATGAACAAACTCAGTATTTCCTTTTAAATATAGCAACTCCACTTACTTGATAAAGTATGTCCCTTCTTGTACATGATCCAACATATTCATCAAGAAATCCCTACATATAACAGAAAACACACTTACAAATTAAGGCCAATTATTAACTTGGAAAACAAAAGACCTTTAGAATTTATTTGACAAAAGCATAAAACACAACCTTTCTTACTCACCTTTGTGTAATGAGTTTCCAAATCAACAATAGCTCTTTGCTCTGGTGTTTTCGCTCTGAAGAAACGATATGCTAGGGATATCATCTGCCGATCAATCTACATTTGAAGAGAACACATTTTGACTAATCGATGTTTGCAATGTCTCCAATGAAGTATGAAAGATTGAACTATATGGCTCAGTAGAACAGCTATCATGGAACAACATAGTATAATTCATGATACTATGCAGGATGTTTTGGAAGTAAATGTTCCTTGCAATAGTGCACAATAAGGTTAATTTAACTATGCAAAGGTGAAGTCCTTAAGACTACTGGAAACCTTGTCTGGGTCCATGATGACCAACATAGGTACATGTTTTAGAAACCAGTGTTGCTGCCATACTTAGTATCACTAGCAATTAGCTACACATGTAAATGTGGTTCAGTATAATTGTATAGTAGGGAATCTAATACAGAAGCACACAAACTTGCTAAGTTACATCAGGTTTTGGAGTGATTTGATGTCTTCTAATGTACCTACTATTCCAGTTGTTTGTTGTTATAAAGGACCATAATAGTATCACTATAAATAACTGGCAAACAGACCAAAAAAGAAAATTTTAGAATCATCATCGATATCCAAAGTAAATAATTAAATAAATGAATAAAAGACTGATTTTATATTTAGGAAATTATAGAATTAATACATTTTGGTTTAATGTTCCACATTGAGATAAGAAATCAACTGAAGCAATCGAAACCTTTCTCAACAGGAAGAAAAGAGCAAGGTTTATAGGAGCTAAAAGGCGTGAGAAGATAGATACCTTTGGTAAGCACTCAAAACCACCTCCAGTGACATTGAGCAAGGCCAAGGAGCATACCCTGTCAGGCACCATGGCTGCCAATTTGCAAGCAATCATTGCCCCTGATCTCAACCAAACACAGATTGCAACAAAATGTGTGATCAGGCAACCGTATGCCAAAAATTACAGATGTGTATCATCATGAATCCATTCTATCGACAATGACGACTCAACTCACCCATGGAGTGACCAAAGACATGAGCTTTCTTCCAGCCTATATGATCCAGTAGGGCAAGGGCATCCTTTGCCATGATACTTGTTCTGCGATCCAGCGGGACAATGGATAAAATCTTTGCAATCGTTTTTAATATAGATGATATGAATCAAAATACCAAATTAGCCCTACATAAAGCCCAAACATTAATGAAAATATCTAATTTCTTCCCCAACACACACAATTACAGAGATAGGATTAGAAGGAGGAGGAAGAAGAGGAGGAGCGTACGTGTATTCGGCTCTATTGGTGGGCACGGAGCTCCGGCCCATCCCACGGTTATCGAAGCAGCACACCTCGATCCCCTCCTGCGCCTCCCGATCGCGGACGTCCAATCCCTCATCGCCGACCGCTGCCACCGCATCATCGTCGACGTTGGCCCCTGCCGCTCTCGTCAACCCCTTTACCTGGGGTCTCCACGAGTCGTGCGTCCCCGCCAATCCTACATCCAATCCCAAAAAACAAATAAGACTCCATCCACATCAGGATCCAATCTTTAGCCCCAGCCAGGCAAAGCTCCCCATCCCTCATCCAGACACTGCAAAGATCTACCGGTAATAAGGAGGACTTTGGTGCTCCCGTGCCCAAATCTCTTGTAGAAAATCCTCGTCCCGTTCTCGCTCGAATCACAAAAAGGCATCTTTCTTCCGCCCCGATCTCACAGAAACAGGTATCCCTTAAAAATCGGAATACCGATTTCTTTAACCTATCTAATCGAGAGAAAAATAATGAAGCAATTGGATCGCGAGACGGAGGAGAAGATGAAGAAGAGATGGAAGGCCGGCTAAAAACGCGGCGGCTCTTCTGTTCGCGTCCGGGGAGGGTTGCAGTTATAGCGCGTGTTACGGGATCACTACGCGGACACGTGGATGGACACGGGTGAATCCGGTCGGTTTGTGGCGGGAAGGGTTGGGATCGGAAGCTGGATGCCGTCGATGCTTTCGATCACCAGCCTCCATCATCTGATGCTCACCTTTGAGCCGTTGGATCATCAGAGATATTAGTGGAGCTTATCTTTAAATATATTTTTAATTTGCATAGTTGCTCGAGTTAGAAGAGTATGCAAATATTTGAAATATTTCTAAGATTTATATATTCAGAAAAAAATCCAAATACCATTCAAAGTTATTACCTGATAATAAAATAGTGTAGATTAGATTAGGGGACTTCTTTACAGGAGGAGGGAGAAGACACAAACGATAAAAATGTGGACTGTTATTCCTGTACTGATATGGGGCCCACGAGGAGGTGGCGCGGTGGGGCGTTGTGCGCTGGGATGCATAATTAATAGGGGAATTTTTGGCGTGGTCGCCGCGGTTGACCGAGTTAGATCTGACTTCATAGTCGCCGTGAAATTGACAGAAGGAGATGCAAAGCAGCCGCCAGACCGAGATTAGACGGCCCATGATTCCAAGATTGGACCGGCCATGATCATGACGAAAACGGGGCCACCACAATCAAGATTGGTTGGTTGGGTTGCTCGTTTAATTATTAAGTGGGATCTAATAGGGCCTAATTTTAGTGAAGATTAACCGTAAATCCATTGCATAAATTAATGTGATAGTATTAAGTATTTGATGCAAAATCATTTGATCGAACGGTTAAGGTGAAAGGAGCGGTGCGATGGACGGTTAAGGAGGATTCGTACCACATCGAATGCCCGTCAGTCTCCTCGTGCCACGTTTCGTTGTCCCCGCCAAAACCTCTGTAGGGTTTTGACGTTCGCCCGAGCCGGGACGGTTTGAGACGATTGATCGAGGGGTTTAGGAAGTAGGAGTGATGGAGAGGGCGATCGAAATCCGAAGCCTCGATGGCCGATCGATCACTGTCTCGATCTCCTCCGACAGTTCCATCGGCGACTTGAAGGCTATGCTGAAGGAATCGTCGTTCCTTCCGGCGAAGAAATCCCCCCGTTTCCACCTTTTTTTCAAGGTAATTCGAGTGTCACCGGGATTCTTTCTTGTTGTTTCCATTAATTTTTCTTCTTGATTCAGTACATTCTTGAAAGATTTCTTTTTGTTTCGAAGGGTTCCAAGTTGAGCTTAGATGGTCGCGTGGACGACTATCCGGTCGAGCACGGTGAGTTTATGGTTCTTGTCCCGTTTATCAAGAAATCTGGGCAGATCCCAGTGGAAAATGGTCCACCCGTGCGTAGCCCACCTAATCGTCCTCTCGATAGCGTGCCATCACCTGCCGCGGACATGGCCTGGCGTGATATTATGAATGATCTGTCGTCTTTATCAGGCATAACTAAAGACGAGATAACTCGGAGCGGGCCTTCTAATTATCTATCCAGTAAGAAAGGGGAGACGTCAGTGGGTGAAAGGTGTAGGAAGACTTCGATGAAAAGAACATGCAAGCGAAAATTGGATGACAGTCATGTACTTCTTCGAGACCTGTTATGTTCTGATGAAAAAAATATCTTTGATCAACTGATGAGTGATAGAATTCGATGCATCGTGGAATCGGTATGCTGTTTATGTAATGCTGATTCAGGTAGTTGTTTGTTGTTTGAAGAATACTTCAGATCGACCAGTATGTCGCAGCATTGTGTATGCCCTTCCTGGCTGAAGAGAGTACTGAAGAACTTTACATTCATAAATATTCTGTGTGCTCTTTTTCAAATTCAAAAGAAATTCTTGACTTGGAAATGCATAGACGAAGCACTGAAGCAGCCTGGGACATTTGGACTGGAAAACACTTGTGGGTCAGATGTTGAAAATCTTTCGCTACTTTGTCCACTGGTAGTACTACCAATTGCTTTGTTTGTAAGTTCATTTGAGGTGGAGTGATGGTTAAATAGTTGCAAAATAGTTACATTTATGATTTCAAACCTAAAGTGTCATTCATATGTATCTTTGATGCTCTCCACATTAAACGAATTAGCATTTTACCACCATGCATGAGAAAATCTTAAGTTATTGAATGGAATGGATTCTTATTATGGAAAAATAACATAGGAACAGAAGATACTGATTCATACAACGTACGAATGAATAGGAAGTCATGTTTATAAGCTTTCATTTATTTTTTAAGGGCATTTCGGGCTACAATTACTTTGAAGCAATTAAACACTATGTAAATGCTTATTAATTATAGAAACTAGATGGGCCATTCATAAAAAGTAAAAGTGAACATGTTTGTTGATATTAGATGCCATATTCATAAGCTATAGCAAAAAGCAACAATTACAATTAAAATTGATTAACACAATCCTTCACATTCTTGAAGTTCATTTTGACATGTTGCTCTTGGCTTCTGGTATATTTTTGTCGTGACCTGGCTCGATGCGATAATCGAACCATCAATTTCTTGAGCCTGAATTACTGATGTGAAATGCAAAAGCCCAGATTGATGGGACTTCATCCATCAACCTTTATAAACCAATTCAAGTTTTTACCCAAATTCAACGTGGCAATAAATTTGGAGATGTTATAATTTTTATCTCTAATTCTTCATTTGATATATTCCTTGTTATATAAAATTGATGAACATACAATATATATTTTGGTGGGTTATATGCTTTTCATGTTGATGTGTTTGGACTTGCTTGTGTTGTATACAAATTGCATTGATGTGTAGGCTTGTTTGAAATATTACATGATCATGTCTAGGTGGTGATAACTCTTTGCGAGCAACGAAGAATTCTGAACAAGTTGGACTCTGCCATTCTCATATGCAACTCCATAAATGGTCAACATGAAGTGACAAATACATGTAGGAAAGTTATATTTGAGTTATCCTTCTTTCTATTTTGACTAGGTTCTGGCAGTTAATTGCATATCATGGATTTGCAGCTAACAAAGAAGCTTCTACTTCCTCAGTTATTCGTGCATTTGACCGAAGGAATTATAATTTCATTTCAGAGTTATGGAAAGCTATAAAGTGCTGCATGGTATGTTTAGTCTGTTTAATATTTGTTAGATTTATTGTAGGTTGATCCACTGGACATTATATATAAAGGACATTATATCCTGTGGTGCATTCTTCATTTGGCTTCTTATTACATACACTGGGAAGGGAAGATTGTAACCAGAGTAAAATAGAACATGATTCTTATATTCTGCTTTAGGGTCACCTAATTATGTTAGTAATTATAGTGCTTATTAGATATAACTGCTTTTCACAATCCTTTGCAGTTTGGCAGAAATTAAGTTCAGATAACAAATCCTCACAAGGATCAGAAATTGAGGCTTATCAACATAGATGACAAAATATCTTTTTTCATAGTTATGGTAGCACATCCGTGGCCCTGACTTAGTTTTAGATGTATTCAGATGTGGGAACATGTCCTACTCCAAAGTGATGCTTAATCTTGTAAGAGGAATGCATTTATTATCATCACAACTTTTTAATTGGAACAGTAATCATATTTCACAGCCAGATCTTCTGCACCTCCTAATATGAGATAATTGTTGGCTTAGCTTTCAAAATTAGTAGACATCACTTGGGTTTGTCTGGAACATGCATGTGAATTGTTCTAGTACTGTTGCAGGATAGAAAACTGGCAAGCAGCATATCTCTACTGCTGCCTCTGGAAGATATTATTTTGATGAAGGACATCATTGCTCTTTCAGAAAGTAGCGACACATTGTTATTCAGGAAAAAAACATCATTATGCTCGGTGGGTTTCTCTTCATTTGCAATTATTAACTATTTTTTCTATATGAAATTGCAATCATTATATTTTTAATTGATAAATTTCTGATTAAGTGGTTCTCTTTTCATGTAATTTGTAGCTCTATATTATGTTTGATGGAAATGATTATTGTGCTCTAATCAACAGAGCACACATATTATGGAACCTGCTGAAATGGTTGAACATCTCAGGGAAGGCATTGGAAAACAAGGACAGGTTCACTCCAACACACTTTTACTTTGGGATCTGGAAGTTATATAAAATAGCACTCTAGATATCTTGATATTGAAACCTTAGCTTCAACAGATAGTACATGTGGAACAAATAGATGCCAAAGAAGCTGCATATGTCGAGCTCCCAACTGATCTAACAGAAGCTCTAAAGTTGATACTTAAAGGGCTTGGAATAACAAGGTTATACAGCCACCAGGTATTGAGTTAGGGTTGTTCTGATATTAATTAATGAAGCCCATATGTTTTAGTCGCTTTTGACCTCGTATGAAATTAATCAGGCTGAAGCTATACGTGCCTCTCTATCTGGGAAGCATGTTGTTGTGGCAACATCAACTTCCAGTGGAAAATCTCTGTGCTATAATATGCCAGTTCTTGAAGCACTGTCTAAGAACACATCATCATGTGCTCTCTACATATTTCCCACAAAGGTTGTCCCTTCTTGCCTATCAATTTTGTACTCTCTTAAAAATAACACATAACTTATTTGTTGTTCCATCATTACAAAGTCATCAACACAATTCACCTTTCAATTGTAGCTATCTTAACTCTTCTGAGAGGGTTATGGTAATTTTTTTTAGGCTTTAGCTCAAGATCAACTGAGAACTCTACTGAAAATGATAAGTGGCTTGGATATTGGCCTAGAAATTGGTGTTTATGATGGAGATACATCTAAAGAAAACCGTAAATTGATAAGAGATGGTGCTAGATTGGTATGTGGACATAGGTGCTTCTTGAAGTATTTGTCAATTATTTTGTACTTCTTTTGTAAGTTGCTTCATCATATTATATGCAGTTGATTACCAATCCGGATATGTTGCACATGTCTATCTTGCCATTTCATAGGCAATTTCAGCGGATTTTATCAAACCTCAGGTAGTTGGTTGTGGTTTTTTACTGTTTCCGTGAGCTATTATAGTTTCCTGCATATACATGCATATCATGGTCACATATGGTCTTTCTTTACGATACTATAGCTTTTCACTTCAGAATTGTTTTTGTTGTTGAAGAAAACCTTTCGTGTTATTTCATTATGGGACTTTCTTACTTCTGTTTTCTTAATTAGGTATATTGTGATTGATGAAACTCATGCATACAAAGGTGCATTTGGTTGTCACACTGCTCTCATACTAAGGAGATTGTGCAGGATTTGTTCTCATGGTACATAGCATTGAAATTTGTAGGACAGTTCTAGGTTTGGCTATATTTACTTGCTTTTTCTTATAAATGATCTTAAGAGTTGCTTTTCTAACTTGTGCAGTGTATGGCAGTGATCCATCCTTCATATTTTGTACTGCAACATCGGCAAATCCACGTGAACATGCCATGGTAGGTTAATTCAACACATATTAATGTCTTTGCCTTAGTTACTCCATATTTTATATCTTTGCAACTTGAGGAATCATGATGCAAGTTAACATAGAATAAGTCGTTAGTCCTCACTCTATACATCTGATAAAGTATTTTGGAGGTTATGTGTGATTTATGATTGCAATCTGTTTTCTGTGTCAAAACTACTTGGCACTAAAGAATAAGTTGTTAATAACTAATACTTATATATGATACTTTGTAATTAAAGCCAATTCTCTCATGTGCAGACTTGTGACCATGGAACTCAATTTCCTGAACAAATTTATACTGACCGTTTCGGCCCCTTTCTTTTAACTTATTTAGGGCAGAAACCTCTTCTTACGGTTAACAAATCCTCGACAGTCGTTCTGTCACGGGCAAACTTCTAAACGGGATGTTTGATGCAATGCTTATGTATGTTCGTGTCTTTTGGTATGTTCATGCTTTGCACAACATGTAGAGGGACGGTCAAAGGCTTAACAGTCCCATTTTAGTTGGGTTTGGTGGTCGTTTTAGGCTTGTAAATAAATGTTGTGTCATGTAAACACTTGTGAGAGATTCTCGGTCTGTAGTGGACCATTTTGACATTTTGTTGTACAACCGTTCAGAGCTTGTAAAGTCTGTTTGTAATTTGCATTGGCTATGAAGTGTTTTATGAAATGTTTGCTTGTGGATCCTGATTGAGGTGTTTTCTCTAACCCGTTTTCTCTTTTGTAGGTCCTAAGGGACTATGGGAGGTTTCGGGGTGGTTGACCTTTGCGGACAGACATGTAAGGGTGCTGCACGACTTAGGCAAAACCAGCTAAGCCTGTGACAGATGGTATCAGAGCTGGACAAGCACTCATAGAAACACTTGACATGCAAACGTAAGGGACTTAGCGGGGCTGCGTTGAGGGCAGCGAGCACGCGCAATCGTTTGAGGGAAAACGAGCATGGAGATGTAGGGAAAAGGAGTCGCTCGGAGGAGCGAGCATCTGAGATTGACATTTAATGGAATGGCTAACCCTTCGCGCAAGAGGCACCACGAGGACAAGCAAGCTTGGAAGAATGCGTAGCGCATAAAGGTTGGGATGGCTGAGTTCGAGCTACGGTTCGACGTTGACAACCATACATGATGGTGCTCAAGGCAAGCGAGGTGCTTGGTAAAGGATGAGATTATGCAAGGTGGAATGGGTTGCTCAACGACTGAAAGAGTTGTGCAAAGCTCACAGAGGTGAGGGGAATTGCTAACTCGAAGAATTCGGTACTCATGCAAGGGTTTGTATGCGGACGATGGGATATTCGTGGCCATCCCAAGGCGACCGAAACTCGGCGCCATAGAGCATTGAAACTTTCTCTTCGGCATGAGAAGGATACGTCCGTAGGAGGCTGAAGTGTGCAGTAAGTTCAGCATGTTGCTAGGCCTTGAGTGGTGCAGCGGGGGCTATATTAACGTGGAGTCGCAATCTAGCAAGTGCGTTTGCAGGAGGCAGAACAATGCACAGTTTGTTCAGCAAGTCGGAGTAGTCCAAGGGGATGGTGGTCTCCGAAACTTTCAGAGGGAAGGAAATGAAGAGAGATGTTGCTCCAACGAGATATATATCCAGGATGGATAAGTCTCGGCTTTCTAAAGGGAGAATCATGTGCAACGGACCGCACATGTTGAGGAGGAGTACCTCAAAAACAACAACTTCACGAAGCTCAATAGATCGAGCGAGTGACGAGGAGTTGTCGCATGATCTCGCTTTAGAGAATGCATTGGTGGATGTATTGCGAGATCAAGTGGGGGGAGTGACCCAAGGCAACACAAATGAAGGCACACTTGGAGTCGATATGAAGATCAGACTTAATGAAGGGTTGACCCGTAGAATGGTGGGCATGAGGACCATCATCAAGTTAATGCAAATCGAGGAGCGGAGCATCTTGGGTGTAACTTGGCGAAGTACCCAAGCCGCATGAAGGGAGCCAGCATAGGAGATGGAACATGGAGCGGAGGCACATAGCTTTCCTTGGACAAAGGTCAAGGACATGAACTCTTGCAGTGGCAAGAGCGGGATCATGTCGTTTCATGGGTCTTTCATTCTGATGGAGCGAACTCATCTTGCATGGTGCCAAAGACGAATGGAGCTTTTGGGCACATGCACTTTATCTCGGAGAAGCATTTGATGAAGGAACTAAGGCGACTCAACTTGCGGAGGTAAAGTTCGGTTCAGAAGGTCTTGGCACGGGGCAAGTGGACACGGAAGTGGGTACTCTTGAAGAATATGCTACAGTGCTGCCATTCAAGTTCCTATGAAGGAAGTGGTGTACAACGGAGATTGTGCTGGTAGGGGCAAAGGTCCAGGATCCAAACAATGGTACACCAATTTCAGCAAAGTCGGTGGACTTCGGGAGCTACTAGGCGACAGATTGTCCTAGAGTTGTGTTTCGTCTGAGTGTGACCCTAGAGCAGGTGGACAAAGGTTGATTGCCAAAGGAGTGAACAAAATCGAAGGTGGAAGAGGCCCTGTGATGTGTTGGCAGAGGCCACACATGGAGGGATCACAATCCAAGTTCATCCCATAAGGATCAGAATGCAATGGAGATATCACCAGGAGTCGACATGGTGCAGCGGATCGCGGTGGAACAGTTCGTGGCAATGCGATACACATGACTCTAGTCCCGTGAGGGACTATATCATACGGAGGTATGATCGGGAGGTATTGGAGTGAAGGTCATGGTATCGTAGAGGCGGGTCTTCTGTGCGTACATCGAATTTTGTATCGGATGAAAGCCTTGGTCATCAGCATATATGGGTTGTGTACCACCGAGGGAAATGTTCGAATGTAAGCACCAGTGAGTCCTATGGGAGGGACTTGATCATGCAGAGGTATGATCATGTAAAGGTATGATCGAAGCCTTAGTCATCAGCATATAGGGGCTGTGTACCACCGAGAGAAAAGTTCGAATGCAAGTACCAGTGAGTCCTATGAGAGGGACTTGATCATGTAGAGGTATGATCGAAGCAGCTGGAGAATTGGACTGCTCCAGAGCCCATATTTGCTTAAGGGAGCCCGGTAAGTCAAAGGACAAGGCCGAGTAAGCGAACGTTGCTACTAAGGAAGTTAAGGAGAACAAAGTCGGTGCAAACCCTACAACATGATGGTAGAGGCCATGCATGAGAGTTGCAGTATGTCTTTCCATCGACTAAGGATAACTGCTTGGAGAACACAGAAGTGTTGATGTAGGGGGTCGAAAGGGGCGAGGAAGCGACGACGAGTCCAGAGGGACGTAGCTACCCAAAATCAAGCATCGGTTAGAATGAAGGTGGACTCGAAGGAGTGCCACAGAGGCAGATCTATCGATCGTGAAGAAAAGGGATGCATATGCGAGGTGACAGATAGTAGGGTCATGGGCATGACAGTGCCATGGTACCACAGAGGCGAGACATCCGTGAAGTTATCGATCTCTTGCTCTCATGGAGGGAGAGCGCTTGGTCGTGAAAGGGGCTGAGGAGGTGGAGCATGTAGAGGCAAACTCCAAGTACCGAGACAATGCTGAAGGGCAGAGGCCAAGGAACTTTGTAAGACCGGTGTCAACGAGCTTCTCATCAACATTGCCGAAAGTGAAGGACTTTAGGTCGTGCAAGAGTGCACGACCAAGGAACGAAGCAGGCAGTACGTGGTGCTATACCTTTGCTACTCAGTAGAGTAGGCGACAGGGTTGATGGAGAAGACTGTACAATCCTAGAGGCGACCAAAACTACAAGAGACTTGCTCTAAGTTAGGGTGAAAACTTTCTGCATTCCAGAAGTTCAATAGCATTGAGAAGATGAATCACAGTAACTAACTCAATGCAAGGAGTGCAAACACTTCAAGTACTTCAGAAGTGTGAGCAAAGAGCGGGCGAAGGCCAGTAACCAGCTCGATGCATGGAGTACAATCCTTGAGGAGGCGGGCGAAGTCAAGTAACCTTTGCCTTCTCAACCCTTAAGAGAATGAATGAAATCGAGTACCCCAATTCTCTTATCTATCCAGCAGATGGGCTCTGCAAATGTTCAAAGATCCTTCTAAGAAACCAAATGGAAGACAATAGTTGTCAAATCCTCACCAATGGTGATCAGTGCTACTGAGAATAGATTATCCGCTTCATTTCCCAAGAGAATGTTAATCGAAAGCGGAAGTGATGCGAACCTACTTGGAAGTGACAACTAAGTGAAAGGAGAGCAGCTGGGAGCCAATAGACACATTGTAGCTGAAGCAGAAGATTGAACTACTCAACAATAGCAGCGGAGAGCCAATAGACGCATTGCAGCTGAATCAAAAGATTGAAGACTCAGCAAAGGCAATGAGTTGCAATGTCGGCAAAGGCTTCGACGAGGACGTCGAAGGAACGAGTGGGGGAGAATGTCACGGACAAACTTCTAAATAGGATGTTGGATGTAATGCTTATGTATGTCCGTGTCTTTTGGTATGTTCATGCTTTGCACAACATGTAGAGGGACGGTCGAAGGCTTAACAACCCTATTTTAGTTGGGTTTATGAGAGATAGTTGATCTGTAGTGGACCATTTTGATCCTTTGTTGTGCAACCGTTCAGAGCTTGTAAAATTTGTATAATTTGCATTGGCTATGAAGTGTTTTCTGAAATGTTTGCTTATGGATCCCGAGTGAGACGCTTTCTTTTTCTTTTTATAGGTCCTAAGGAACCATAGGAGGTTTCTATTTGATCTTTATGTTTATCCATGCATGAATCTTTACTTTTTGCTATGATAGTAATGCTGCTAAGTCCCATGGAGATATCTTTTTCAAGTTCTTGGCTAAATCTTTTCTTGATTAAGACTTGTTTGAACTGTAAACGCTAATAAGACTTTGTATTTCATAATGTGTGTTATGCTACTTAAAATACATGGGGCTCAAATAAAAAGGTTGTTCCATGATTGATGCCTAAGTTCCAAATTATATCAGAAAGAATCATTTTTGGTTGGGCAGCTACATGGTGGTATATCATTATTGGTCACTTAAGCCACTAACTTGTTTACTGTATACCAAGAATCAATACAACTCTCTTAGTAACGTTGACTTGGTTCCATTCTTCAAATTATGTTGAATTGTTAGACCGGTGAAATCTTTTACCCAAACTTAAATGTGCCTATTTTCAAATGCATTGGTCATTATTCTCTTAGGCAGAGAGGAGCACCTAACTTGGTACATTTGCTCTTGAAATGGTAACTATTTACTTAAATTTGACCACTGGATTTCATTGCTAGTTGGAAGGAATTGAAATAGCCCTTTTTGATCATTAACAAAAAAATTTGATGTTGCTACTTATACATATTGATCTAATAATCTGCACAAATTCTTTTTGCAAGATGACTTCATGTACCATTTCTATTGGCAGTCATTACCATTAAGAGTGTGATCATGACAATGATTCTTCATGAGAAAAATTATGTTATATATCAGGTGCTTAGCAACTTGCAGACACTAGAGCTGATTCAAAATGATGGAAGTCCTTGTGGTCCAAAGTATTTTATTTTATGGAATCCTCCGTTGAATTTGGTGAGCATGGTCACACATTTTTTAGGTTTTCTTCCAAGACAAACAATTAGAACATAATATGTTGCTTTGCTTCCCGAGTTACGATGCTCTTATCATTTAAGAACTGCAGTGATTGAGATGAACAAATTATTGCATTTTTCATTCTTGTGAATGGTAGGGGCAAAAGACATCAAGCAGAAGTACCATTAAAAAACCTGTTAAGAGAGAAAAGGCATCAAGCAGGAGGAACAATAAGCAACCTGTTCAGTCTTCTATAGAATCGAGACGTTCAAGGTAGAAATTTTTTCTCTTTTGCAGTCTTTTGGTTTATCATGGTTTTGTGTGTGTAAAGCTGATAACCAATTCCTAGGCAAGGGAAGTATAGATAGGAGAGATATCAATCTGAAACACTAAATAATATTAAGTAATTGAAAAGATTCACCATAGTAATTGAAGTAAAAGTTCCTGCAAACATGGAGCAGTTCTCCAAAATTCCCTGGCTCTGGAAAGTCTAGAAGAAAACAAAATGAGAAAATGTATTATGTTCATCTTGCAGACATCAACAAGACAATGAGCATATGGAACACACAAATTTGTACTTTTCTTGGTTGATTAATCTTACATATTTCTTGGGAAGAGTAAATTGAGTAGATTCTGGCCCAGTATACAATCATGCAAACTCTAAAAGCAAAAGAGTTATCAAAATAATTGTATGTATGACTAGTAAGTTTATCCATTATCAACATGAAAAGATCAATGCAAATCCTTAGGGTAATCTTATGCTAATAGGAAACTCACTAGACACACTCTCTATAATTCTAACACTAGTAATTATATTATCATACATATCCTTAATAGTTATGAACATGAATATAATTAGTGGATATATCTTTTTTTTTAAATTCACCTTTATAAATTTTTAGGAACTCAATCATAGGCTTTCTCTAAGTCAATAAAAATCATATGCAAATCTTTCTTTTTATCTCTATATTTCTCATTAATTGGCTTAATAAATAAATAGTTTTTATGGTTGATCTTCTAAGCATAAAACTAAATTGATTTTTATAAGACCAAATTGTCCTTCATTACTAAATAACTAATGGAAGTAAATTGCAAGAATTAAAATGTAATATTAAACAGAAATAATTTGAGAATACAAATAACTTTAAGGCAAGGACTATTTAGTAAATATGCTAAGAAGAAAGGATCATATGTGAATAACCATATCTTATTATGACCAAGTTTTAAAAAGGGAAGTTTTTTATGTACAATAAGTAGAATGTCTTTGTTGGTCTTTATTGGGAGACTTGTTTAGGTGCAACTAGTATCCACCATCCTTTGACATTCTCCCAACGTTAGAGTATCCTTCTAACTCCAATTATATCAGCCCAAAATTAAATTCTACAGCAAGAGCATGTGTCTCTGTACATGAATATTTTACAATCATATTGTTCTTTTTGATATCCATAAATGATTATACAGCTGCACTATTTGTGATATATTATACCCAAATGATATGTTTGTAAAACTGTGGGTGGAATTAAAGTTCCACGGGTGCTATTAAATGGTTTAGCACGGTAGGGAATGGGAATAATGATTTTTTGATAAAGTTCCACCATCAAACCTAGGCGTATAATGATTTTTTGATAAAAACTAGGGCCACCTGTTAATTATCCTATCTTTATTTACTGGTAGGCCTTGCAATTTGAATTGGATTTTAAAGCTGTAAGTCAAGGTTCCTTGTCTCACAAAATTACTTTGTTGTGGACACATGTTGCACATAGCATCTTATATATCCAAGCTTTATCTGAACAATTAATGATCTGGAACATGTCAGGATCTCCATGTTCCAACTCGTTCTAGATTTTAGGTGAAGTCACAGCCTTTACCTAAATATTTACCTTATATGGATGTTCAGCATTGCCTTTGTGGGTTGACATAATGATACAGCTGATGAGGAAGACTCTATTCACTATCTCATTATACCAGCGGGTGCTGTCTAAGTTACACTGAGAACAGTTATCATTTGATAAGAAAGTAATCATAAACTAAAGATGTCTCTTACATTTTCTAGAGGTGGTAGATACCATCTGTATGCCACTGTGCTGATGCAATATAATTCTATAACTTAGTGAACCAGCATCCAGTTATCATTTTACAGAAACATGTAGGTGCATTTTATCATAGTAAAGGCTTGTTCTAATGGTGAATTATTTAGTCCCATTCTTGAGGTATCTTATCTCCTTGCGGAAATGGTTCAACATGGGCTACGCTGCATTGCTTTTTGTAAGACTCGGAAACTGAGTGAATTAGTTCTCTCTTACACGTAAGTCACCCATTACATGTATTTTAAATAATTCACTTTAATAAATTCATAATGGCATATGATGTTTTGCCCCTTTTTTGTCTTGATTTCACATCAGATGTGCTAACTTTTGTCACTTACATAGGCGTGAAATACTTCAGGCAACTGCAAAGGATCTGGCTAATTCAATATATGTCTATCGTGCTGGCTACTCTCCTCAGGTTTTTTATCAAAGTCATTTTATTACTGCACATGTGTTGGGAGTCTATTTATGATTAACTTAATAGTTAGTGCCTTCCTCTCTTTTTGCTAAAGTTAATGGGTCACCTTTAATTAGTTGAAAATTCATGTTTACCACACCAAACTTGAATTCTTCAATTTTTTTTATGTATGTATAATCTTTCAAAGTGGACTCTAATATATGTCGCTTCTTATGGTATATATGCTGACTCTAAATGAATATTATAGGCTTGATTCATTTATGTTTACCTAACCAAAGCTGTTAGGATGTAATTTTGTTGTCTCATGTCTGCAAGTTATAATGCTCCATGACATTCAATGGTGCTTCAGAAAGTCTGCAAGCAATTTGTTGCAGATTTAACTGTGGCTCAATCATGATACTATGCAGAAATCCTTTTCTGAGAAGTTTCTTTTTAGCAGTCAATGATGTAGATCATTCTTGGCGACAATAATCCAGGCTTACTTGAAAACATTACTCCTGCTCAAGGTCCGCAATACCATACCGTACCGGAGTTTCGACCTGGGCTTGGTACCGGTATGGTACGGTATACCGAGCGGTACACCCAGGTGTACCGAGCAGTATATTCAGGCGTGCCGAGCACTGTAGTACTGCTGCAGTGCTACAGTGTCTGCTACAGTGTCGGACCGGTAACAGGCGGTCCGCATACCGGAAGCCTGTCGGACCGGTACGTACCGCCCGTACCGGGCGGTACAGTCCGGTACTGCAGACCATGCTCCTGCTTTTGTTGTCTGTACTCTATCTTCTTTATATGTATGCAAATTAAGCATACAAAATGCAGACAAATAAAATATATGTTTCTTGAAATAGCATGTTTTTGGATGAGAAAAATCAATTAGAAGAAATGTATGAGTTAATAATGGTTCAGAAACATCAAAACTAATTGCATTTTGATGTTTTAATGTTTTTGAATGTCTAATATCAATTATTTTGATGTTCAAACTTCAAAGTAAAGTTATGTTTAACATCACATACATGATGTTCTCTTTTAGGACATGCTTCTTGTTTTCAGATCGATGCATTGGTAAGATGTCATGTTGAGCAACCCCCTTTGGGGTGGACCCATAAGGAGCCTCTAAGAGAGGGGTCACCTTTGGTTCTTTTATTATGCCTTTATTCACTAATTTTCCAACCAAAATGGGTCTAAATATGATGTTATCATGAAGAAATGATTGCATTTGTTATAATGAGTTGTAGCAACATTGGAGGGAAATATGTTAGATACAATAAAATGTAGTGACTGAAATTAGAGGTAAGGAATTCATTTTCATCCGGATTGGTCGGTACCGATCAGTATTTATTGATCTTGGCATGAACCATTACGTGGATCCAACCCATTTCAACGGTCCGGCCATATAAAATAAAAACCGTATGCCTCCTCACGGTCCAACCCTCATCACAAGCGTGAGCCTCGACGTGTGGAGTCAGCTACCACCTACCTCCTTGTCGCCCACTGCACTCTGTTGATCGTGTATGCTTCTTCCTTCTCTCCTCTTCTTTCTTCTACTTCCTCCTTCCTACTCTTCTTCCACCATCTCTGCTTCCTTCCTCTTCCTCCTTCGTTTTCTTTCTGCACCTCCTTCTCTTCTTCCTTCCTCTTCCTCTTCTCCATTGCTTCTTCTTCCTTCCTTCCTTTGTTGTTCTTCTTTTTCCTCATCAGTATGTACCGGTGTACCATACACCAGTACTGACAAAATGTACCGGTCCTACCAGAGGTCTGGTATGAAATTGCGATCCTTGATTAGAGGTACTGTGAGAATTGAAGATCTCAATGAATAACTCCACACAGCAGATGGCCCTTTGATTACTTGAGGAATTTGCCTTGCTAAATTTCATGGAAAAGGCTGACTGACTCTGAACAGTTTGGAAATTTAGGCTTATCTTCCTTACTGCATAGTGTCAATCAAATTACAACTGATGCTCTGTGCCTGTCTTCCAAGATGTCATCTCTGCAATTGCATCTCTTAAATTAAACTTTACCATGTTTCATTGGGTGGTTGAATTAATGTTAGAGCAGGAAAGGAGAAGAATAGAGACCGATCTTTTTGAGGGGAAAATCCTGGGTGTTGCAGCAACCAATGCACTTGAGCTTGGGATCGATATAGGGCATATTGATGCAACTTTACATCTTGGCTTTCCTGGTAGCGTTGCTAGGTAGACATATTAACATTTTCTCATACATAATTTATCAATTCTTGGTTGCATATGGTTTTTATCACTAGTGATATGTTGTTCCCCCTCTTTAGCTTGTGGCAGCAAGCTGGGAGATCTGGCAGAAGAGCGAGGCCATCACTGGCAGTTTATGTTGCATTTGAGGGGCCTTTGGATCAGTATTTCATGAAGTTCCCTCAGAAGCTCTTTGGGAGCCCAATCGAGCACTGCCAAGTTGATGCAAATAACCAGAAGGTTTTTAGCTTGACTGCTTTTTTCTTAGAGAAATAAGTTCTGAATCTATATGGACATGTATCTATGTCATTTTTCCTGCCATGCATTTTTAGGTGCTAGAACAACATATTGCCTGTGCTGCTTCTGAACTACCATTGTGTCTGCAATATGATGAAAATTACTTTGGTTCTGGTCTTGGTTGTGCAATTGTTGCTCTAAAGAACAAGGGGTATTTAGGTACTGATCCGTGTGTTTCTCCAAAGTTATGGAATTATATCGGACCTGAAGTAAGTTTTCTACACGAGAATATCATCCACTACTTGTGATTACCATTATAGCCTTGTACATTTATTGTTTCTCTCTCCAGAAAAGTCCTTCGCATGCAGTTAGTATACGGGCAGTTGAAACTAACAAATACAAAGTGATGGAGAAAATAAGTAATGAAGTGCTCGAGGAAATTGAAGAAAGCACAGCCTTCTTCCAGGTAGTTTCTGGTTGCTGCTTAATAAAGCTAACGGATAATTTGTTGGCAGTGCATCCTATTTCTTGTCAATATATTGCTTTCTGAAACCTCGCATGCTATTCTTCTTGTTTAATGTTTTGATCATGCCTCATCAATTCTTCTTTAAGGACTAAAAACTTTTTATGTTACTCTGTGTTAAATATGTACTAAGGGATAGTTGTGCTCTAGTTTTGCTTATCCTGGAGGAGGCCTCATAACTTCAGGGGTTCCTAACTTTTGCCGATTGGCACAAGATACAGTTATATGCATAGGTCTGTTATTCACAAAAGTAATCCTTGGTATCCCAACTGTACCGGTCAGCACAGGATGGAGTTCCATGCTGACTGTGCCCACATGTGCACACATGACCTTCATGTGTCTCGAATGGACACAGCATGGAATCAAAACACTGGAATTTCTTGGTTCTTAATTTATGGAATTCTTTTTATGGTGAAATGTGTTTCTGCAAATCTTTATACATAGGCTCCAGTTGGCTGATCTTTTTGCTCCTTTCTGAAATATAACTATGTCCCAACTTGTTAAACATTTTCAAGTCCTATTGTTGATGAAAATATATGCCTAGCTAGTAGGTTTTGGAACTGTCGACTCTAAAATATATATATTTTTATCATCTCTTTTCTAACTGTAGTAGTCTGGAACAGATCTTTGTAGTCTTATTCTTTATAGGGTGTAGAAATTCTGGTAACCACTCAGCTAATTTGTCAATATGTTCTTGTAAACTATGTTATATTATGAGGAGAGTGTATGCATGAACTAAATTCTAGTCAATGAACCAGATAGCTATTGGATAATCTTGCCTGCTTATGGTGTCCTGGATAGCTGTTCTATGTTTGATACTAAGGGGAAGAAATGCCATGTCTATGTCTCTCTCTTCCATCTTTTTGTTTTTATTATGTGATATTGTGATGCATAGTATGTGTGATACTTGTATTCTTTTGTAGCAGAAAGTCAGTAACCATTTCTTGTCAAATCATCTTTTTATATAGGTATATGAGGGTGCTGTCTACATGAATCAAGGCAATACATATTTGGTGAAAGATTTAGATTTATCAGCAAAAGTTGGCTTCTGTCAGAAAGCTGATTTAAACTATTATACCAAGACTCGAGATTACACAGACATCCATGTTTCTGGAGGTGACCTTGTATGTTACTGACCCTTTGAAGTGCATTCTATTGATAGTGTTTGCTATAATTGTACAATACTTATCTGACCAGATAAGTGATATGCAATTCAAGAACTTCCAAGATGGTTTGATGTGCTAACTTTAGTTGACAAGATAATTGTATAATATTTGTAAAGAACTTTTTCCTTCTTTTACTTGATTGTTATTAAGATTGGAATTAACTGCCAAGTACTTTAGATTTCCTTTTAGTTATGCTACAGTTTTATGAAAAATGTTATTGATAGTCTTTTTACATATTAGATATAATAAAGCTGCTCTAACAGTTTGACTAACCAATAAAATTTTTGAGTTGCCTACTGCCTAGGTCTCAAGAGTAGTCTCGTGTGGATGTTTGTTTTAATGACAACTCCTTGAATCTTTTTGTCTCCGTTCGGTTTATATTCGAATATTCTTCTCCCTTTTTATATTGTTCATTTTTCCATGGATTGCAACTCACAAGAATTGGGTTGAAACTTGTCCATACATCTATCTACTTGAACAGGTTATTAAAACATAGGCATGTTTCGAGTATTGTGAGATGCAGTATCTCTGCTTCACTTTTGAGCATATCATGACTTCAAGCTAATTCTGATGTACTTCTTCCACAGGCCTATCCGCTGGTGAAGGAATCTGGTTATGTAAAGACAACTGCCCGAACAAATGCTTGCAAAGTTACTACCAAATGGTTTGGTTTTTATCGGATATCGAGAACTAGTAACCAGATACTTGATACAGTTGATCTTAATCTACCTACATTTTCCTACGAATCACAGGTTTGCTAATGTGTGTTTTAATTCTTATTTTACTCTTACAACCATTTTCACCTTTCTTTTGACTATTCCGGTGATTCTTTTATGTGGAATGAATACCAGGCAGCTTGGATACGTGTTCCTCAGTCAATAAAGACTATTTTGGAGGCAGAGAATCTCCCTTTTCGTTCAGGCTTGCATGCAGCCTCCCATGCACTTCTGAATGTCGTGCCCTTGTAAATTTTCACACTCATGACGTCCCACGAGCTTCATATTTTCTTTTGTTACTTTTGTCACAGAGAAATCTTTCTTCTAATGTTTTTGGTCATTGCAATGATTTAGGAACTTTCAGTCAGCGAATTTCTTTTCATGCATATTTCATTGTGAGGCATCTTTTAGACAAGGTCTCTACTTACAGTACAACACAAATGACTGTCTATCTTATCTTCTAGGTATATCATGTGCAATGCTACCGACTTGGCTACAGAATGTGTGAATCCCCATGAAACACGTGCTTTTGCCGAACGAATTTTGTTGTATGATCGACATCCTGGTGGTATTGGTATTGCAGCACAGGTAAATGCATCTGACCTAGTAACTAACTTTTGATTGCCTGGTCAACTTTCGTGCAAATTTTGCTCGAGTGTCAATAATATAAATGCCTGGGAATTATCATTCCAATCACAAGGACATAGAGATGCCCCATGCAACTTAATGTCCTTCAGTTTTCATGGAAAAAGGTCACAAACATACAATAAAAAATGCACTAAAAAGGAATGTGAGGAATGACAAAAAGATAGCTCGAGATATGATATAGGTATCTGGATGAGGCTTGCAGATGTGTCTCATCTCATATTATGGTGCATACACACATAATTTGTGACTTTGGGTAATATATCAGGTTCAGTTACTGTTTAGAGAACTCCTCACTGCTGCATTGGAACTAATTTCAACATGCGGTTGCACGTCTACTTCTGGTTGTCCGAACTGTATTCAAGTGAGCACTGATTTTTGTGTTGCAGTCCTTTTTTTCCCTTGCAAAAAATTTAATGTATTTACGAAGACTATATTGCTGCAGGTGCTTTCATGTGGTGAGTACAATGAAGTTATACACAAGGATGCTGCGGTTTTGATTCTCAAGGTATGTGCTTTCCGATTCGTTTACAATTTACAATATATATACATTTGCAATTTGTCTAAGAGGTTCATACATGCAGAGCGTCATCAAAGCTGAGACAGCATACTTTGAAGGCGGACAAGTTTCTTAGTCTTTTTTTCCTTTTGGAAACATCAGGAGCAATTTAGACGTGTCTTCGGTAATAATTTTAGAGAGAGATCCAATGCAGAATGTGACGGCAACACACAATCAGGGACTTGGATATTTAGAGTTGCATGCTAATGCTGATAACAGAGGATCTCCACATGATCTCCAGCAAAATGGAGGTTCCTGTTGATAAGTCTGTTACCTGATTAATGATCTCGACGCAGGAGGGAGGCTTAATGTTTGGCATAAGCAGCACTCCCTACTTAACGATCCCCCGACAAAGTGAACTTCTGCAGTGTTTTTTTTTTCTAAATCAAAATCAATCATCCTGGACAATTTCTGGTGTGTGAATCAGTTCAAAGTGAGAGATTGTCAAATCTGTGATTTGTCATTCTAAAGTTGCCACCATCTTAAAAGCCGCAAGAAGCTTCTTCAGTGACATGATTCGGCATTTCAAATTGTCATTGCAGGTTTTCTGGTGTGGATTTGCGCCCCTACAGCACCCATTCTGGCTCGTAGTGTAAGTGCTGCTGCTCCACCCGTTCTGGCTCGTAGTGCAAGTGCTGCTGCTCCAGGAACACAACTATCGATCCATCAATCAAAAGAAAGTTTCTCCGGTGCTGATTCTGTACCCGATGAACTTTTCCCACTTCAAAACGGCATGATGGCTCGGAAGCAATCAATCAGGTTGGTGTTTAGTGCTTTCCCAACCAATGAAGTGGTGGTGGCCATGAAAGAAGTTACCGTGCTGGCATGAACTTGTTATGAACCCTGGAGTGAGGAAACCTGTAGGCATAGTGTAGCACTCACTTAATAGTCAAACAGCAGACTTATTTGGGGTTGAGTTGATGACCATAGGATCTGTTCATTCCTTCGTCTTCCTCTTTTTTTTCTCTCTCCTCTCCTACAATTATTCCTAATCTATCTCATCTTATTGGAATCAGGTAGAAACATGTAGAAAGTGTTGTGAATAGGCAACAACAGCCTTGTTTTTAGTGGGATGCAGACACAAAAGTCTCAGTGCTCTGCACTTGTTTTTAGAGGCAGACATGTTCCATCAAATAATAGAGAAGGTTGTTGATGAAGTTTCTTCCGTTGGCTTCCACTTTCTTGATGAAGCCGAGCATTCCAAGGAGATGCCATTCTTCTCTGGCCATCTCTTTTGACTGTGCTTCATGATGTAATGCTAAATGGCTAAGCACAATATGACTGACATTTGCAGTTCACAGCAGTAATGTGATGCTGAGAGAATGAAAGAGAGAGGCGAAGGATACTTTCGAGGATGATAAGCTCGTCATGATCATAGTCTGCTAACAAGTCATCAAGTATAAGTCTATGCATATCCAATCATAATTCCAGGTATTATACAGCTATTACCCTTCAATTGTGCTCTCAAGAGGAACACTGTACTTAACACAGAGGCTGCTGAAGGCAAGAACTGGAACAAGTTGTTGCAGAGAGAGAGAGATAGAGAGAGGAATGGATCATACCCTGCCTTGCCTTCCAAACCCTGCCGAAGAGCTCCCACCGGCGCCGCCGGCTGAGCTGCCCTTTCCCCCCATCGACATCTGATGGTGATACGACGTGGCCGAAGTCGGGGAACCGTACATCGCACCGCCGCCGCCGTACATCCCCACACCGGCGCCGCCGGCTTCCTTGTGCGAGCCCGACGAGGCCCCCATCTTCTCGCCTTCCATCTCCCGGAACCGCTGCAGGTAGACCTTGAGGGGCTCGACGTAGTCCTCGAAGCCGAGGGTGGTCATGGCCCAGAGGAGGTCATCGCCGTTGATGGTCTTGCGCTTCTCCCGCTGGCACTTGTCGGAGGCCTCCCCGGTGACGAAGCTGATGAACTCCGAGACGCACTCCTGCACCGTCTCCTTGGCGTCCTTGGAGATCTTGGCGTTGGCGGGGAGGGCCTTCTTCATGATCCTGCTCACGTTAGCGATCGGCAGGAAGCGGTCTTGCTCCCGAGGCGACGAGAACTCGCCGCCGCTCCCCGCCGCGTTGTTCGGTCCACCGGACTCGTTATCTGAGTCCACCATCAATCAAGATCGTAACTCGATCCAAAAATTCAAGCTTTGCTAAGCGAGAGTCAAAAGGGAGAAATAAAGGATCTTAAGCGGTCTTACGCTACAAACAACTCCAGAACAAAGGATTCGGGATTGTTCGCAACAAGATCCTTGCTTTACATGGAATTCTACGATTCGAACAAAACTTGGAGAATTCGAAGGATTCGTGGATGAGAGCTACGGGCTTCCAAGCTGTTCGAGAGCGGAAAGATTATGGATCTAAATCTATGAAAAGCAAGAGACTATCTTTCGGGATCTACAGCGATAAATCGAGAAGGAATGGGAAGAAGAACAAGATCTGAACCCTCATGAAGAATTCGAACCACCCAACCCTCCCAAAAGGGCTACAAACAAGAAATTCCAAAACGGACAAACACAAACCGGGGAAAAAGGGAAAGGTTTCTCGAGTAGAACACGAGAAAGCAGAAGCCGTCAGAGGAAAGCTAAGCAGCCGTCAGAACCCTGATGAACCCCATGGATGGATGGGTGGATCGATTAGGATTCGTCGTCGCCGGAGGAGAACGGAGCCGAGGAAAGCGAGAGAGGGAGCGAGTGGGGAACACGAGAGGGATGAAGGTGGAGTGGTCGGGGCCGTTGGATCTTTGCCCTAATAACGCATCGAGTGCAGCACGTGGGAGGACGTGGGCCGTCTGTTTCACGATAAGATGGGCCCAAGTGGTGCTTTCTGGGCCATCGATGTCGCCCACGTGCCGGTGATCGTCACCGTTCACGAAGAGTGGGCCCCGCTTGAGTGTTCTTTTTTTCCTACAAATCACTATCACGAGGCGTGAGCGTGACGCCGTTATATATATATATATATAATTATATATATATATATATATAATTATAAAAGTACACTATATAGGACGGTTGCATATGTATGTGTGTGTTATATACAATGCTTATAACACTGATGGGTCGAATTAATGGTCAACTGATCAAGCAAATACGACTCTTGATGCAGCACCACTCAAATAATATTTCTTTGAGATTCGTGTGTGATGGATGGGTGGTGCAGCGGGGTCTCCCTGCATATATGTATCAAGAAACAATGTATGCCATCTCCTCCGACTCGTAACAGAGAGAGAGAGAGAGGAGGAGGAGGAGGAGGAGGAAAGAGAAGGGTAGATGACTGAAGGTCATCAGCTTGTTCTAGGAGTACTGGCTGCTGAGATCTCCCCACCGCACGTTGTACTTGGCGGCAAGGTAGTGTGCCCCAACTGGTCCTCGGCTGCCGTAAGGATAAAGCTCCGGCGCGATCCTCTTGTCCTCCAGCTCCTTCAGCACCGGGGTGAAGAGCGCCCATGCCGCGTCCAGCTCGTCGCTTCTGATGAAGAGCCGTCGCTCGCCTTCGATCGCGTCCAGTAGCAGCCTCTCGTATGCATCAGGGATCTCTCTAGGGTACCTGCATCGTCACCAAATCACCCTGGATCAGCAGTCTCCATGTTGCCTGCCTCCACCCAAGGTAATCTCATATCACATCTCTCGAAGATACACTGGTCATTGATCATCATGTGGAAGCAATCAGTTTTCCAATGGGTCAAAGATAGATAGATCTCTCTCACAAATCATCATGTATCTTGAATCAATGTTTATGGATCTTGCATCAACAAAATATGTGAACGACAATTAGAAATCTCATCCACTTTACCAATCTGCATTGGCAAAGACAGGTTATATATGGGTGACAACTAGAAATCTCGTTATCAGATTAACATAGCTTTTGTTCTACTCTTTTGATTCGTCTCTTCACTGATCTGTTAATGTTATAGACCAGTCACTGATCATCATGTGAAACGTAAAGCATTTACCTTTGATAATTTGATGGTGAATTCATACCTCGATGCATACAGGAGATTCAGATTGCTACTATCCAATCTCATGCTCAACCCAGGGATCTTATTGTTTATCTTCAGATATATGGCTTCATCGGGTTGTACACGGATCACCAGCTCATTAGTTGCTTTATCCAAGTCGGTCCCAAAATTTCGCTTGTACAAATTACCAGGAACGTGCCTGAACTGAACCCTAATCTCTGCTCTGCAATCTCAACCGAGTTACCTTTTCTCGATCACCAAGCTAACAGAGAAGAGAAATGACCTCAAATGCAGAAAAAGGAGATGGTACCGTCTGGTATTCAAGGCTTTTCCAGCTTTCATCAAGAATGGCACACCGTCCCATCTAGCATTGTCGATAAAGAGGGCTGCTGCTGCAAATGTTGGTGTGAGACTGCCTTTTGGCACTGTCGGGTCATCTATATAGGCAGGCAAAGATCTTCCACCTCTCGTATGACCCTTGTATTGTCCGACCACAACATCATCGAGTTGTAGAGTCCTCATTGACCGTAGAACTTTCACCTACAGGGAAACATGTAAGATTTAAGCAAGGAAGTTAATTGATGTTGGATGATGACAAGCAAATCTTTAGCACCTTTTCGTTTCGGATATCCTCTGCATCTAAGCTAACAGGGGTTTCCATGGCAAATAAAGCTAATATTTGTACAAGATGATTTTGCATTATGTCACGGATGATTCCGTAGTTGTCGAAGTATCTGCAGACAAGAATGAAAACATCAACCGAAATGCAGATCTAATCAAAGTTACCTAGAGTGAACTAGAGACGAAGGACAAACCCGCCACGACCCTCTGTTCCAAAGTCCTCGGAGAATATGAGCTGCACATTCCTGATGAACTTCCGGGACCACAAAGGCTCAAAAACAAGGTTGGAGAAACGAAGAACTGAAAGATTCTCAACGAGTTCCTTTCCCAAATAATGGTCAATCCTACGAGTGGAAAGAGCAGCTGATGAGAGAAGTTGGAACTTCGATCTTAAGCTATACAAACTAACCCATTTCTTTATTGAAAGATGAGGTAGAAACAGTCATCTTCTACTGATCTGAGCACAAATTTATGCAGATAGGAAGGTGGGAAAAAAAATCAAAATCAAAATCAAAGGTTGCTTTGCATGACAGACCTGAAAATTTGGTCCTCGGTCAGGTGTTGCTTAAGAGAACGTGTGAGGTCTCCAGAAGATTGAGAGTCACGACCAAATGGCTTTTCGACAATTACTCTGGTCCAGCCAGTTGGAGAAGACGCAGTACGGCTAGCACATCTCACCACATCAACAAATATGTTTGGAGGAATCGAAAGATAAAACAATCTATTTGCCGACTTCCCCACCTGTAAGCTTAAAATCATATTTATAGGAAAAACTTAGCATCTTCCAGTTTACTAATTCACAAAAAGAATAGTGCTTCATAAAATCAATTAGAAAGTAGGTTGGCATTCTAAGATTCTGAATAGCTGGACCAATAATTCAAAATCTCATTAATAGCCAATTCTGGTGAACTTTCACTTAACGATACATGTGCCGTGCATTGCCTGACTCATCATTGTCGTAGGAAAAATCCTCCCAATCAATTTGGTGAGTCATCCACACAATATCTCATTTACCTAGAATAAAGAAATCTCCGTAATCTCATTACTGAGGAACCCCGATTGTTTAGACTACGGAAAATGGCTGAAGCACCCGATTGTACATCACAAGATATATTGAAATGCTTCAATTTGTCTATGCAGTAGAAATGCATTTTGGCTATGTTACATGAATTGTTGATCAAAATATTTTCACTATAAGAATGACCAATAAGGTTTCCCCTTGATCTCTCCCTTCCTACTGCATAACCTTCCTTTTCCACCATATAAAGTCTCCCACAACACCAATTTGAACATCACATTCTATGGCATTAATACGAGCTAACCAAATGTTAATCTTTAACACCTTACATTGTCTGGCATTATTTCTGTGTTCTTTATCATGACTTCGAGGACATTGTAATCTTGCTTAACAAGGATTAGGTCACCTAGGATTATGTTGTCTACATGGGATTTCTTAAGGTATGACCCTTCAAAAGTGGAACATTAGTTGTTGTATCTGTTGTCAAACAGGCATAAAGCCTTCTATCACATCAGTCTTAAGTTTAATTATATCAGCGCATACTGTATTATGTATAAACCAATGAATGTATACAACTGCAACTAATGAATAAAGTTTGAGCCAATTGGAATGTGGAAGAAGAACAAGTGAAAGAGAACAGAATGTATTAACTAACCTCTTTGTCTTTAAGCTTCCTGTCTAGCTCGAGAAAGTTCTCCGACGAACTGTACTGCCCTGAATGGTAGAAACACCTCTGCAAAAATTGTTCCATCTTGTCACCACAGTTTTCCCTATAAAAATGTTCAAAAAAGAGGTATAAAAATCATTCGCTGCTTGATAAACAAGATTCATCCAAAAGGTTAGACTAGTAAAGAAATTTCATGAATATATTAGGCAACTACATCATCAGAATTATATAAAGTGTCACTTGTTCAATCGATGAACTTAAGCGTCAAAAGCAAATAGGAAAAGCAATTTCCAGAATACAGGACCAAGAACAATGAATCATGCAGGTAGTGTGGCATAGTTATCAAAGGTATTACCTTTTGTCAATTCTGCAGGTCAGAGTCTTGCCGATCATATTCCTCAGCTCTTCATCGGTTAGTTGAGTTCGAGCATAGCCAAAAACAGTAAAGTGCTGCATCAAAAGTACAAATAAACCATGGTGATTTCTTACTCAGGTCTTAAGTTGCTTCAAGAAAAGCATAAACAAAGCTTGCAGATGAAGTCAAACCAACAGATTAGAGACATAGACTGGCCTTTGGAAATTTTTGAAAAAAGTGATGCTAAAGAAATTAGCAACAAAATAAGAATATAAATCAAACCTTTGGAAGACAATCTTCGTAAAAGAGAGCAAAGAGGGCTGGAAAGATCTTCTTCTTGGCAAGGTCTCCGGAAGCCCCAACAACAGTAATACTCACTGTACTGTCAATTTGGTCTTCTTTGGCTTTAGAATGATCGATATATGGCTCTTCTGCGGAATAATTTTCAGTTAAAGCTACTTCATGTCAAATAAATGAAAATAACAACCACATTATCCATGTGTGGTGAACTCAAGAATCAAGAACCGTAAAATCTTGTTTGTGTCAACTAAGCGTTATAACGCAATATTAGCGTCTTCAAGGTTTCTGCCACTCAAATCGAATCAGATTCTCATACCACGATCCCGCATTACACCATAATTCACAGAACAAATAAGGAAGTAACTAGTGATTGTTTATGTCAATATGTCAATTCTTCCTACCCGGCTGTTCTGATCTAACTCACAATGTGTGTTTCAGACCTCACCAAACAAAGCTACAATCGCCGAGGGACGATTAACTCGTTTCCGCACCCTAAAATTATTCAGTAGCGCATGAACTTGCCATAAGAAACACAAATGAAGAACACAAGAAACAATTGGGATCGGATAGGGGGCGGGGGGGAGGATTCACCTTTCTGGGAGGAAACTACATTGAGAGGGTACCCATTGGAGGATTTCATCTGGAAACCCCACTTTCTGATCGCTTCGTGTCCAGCGAGAAGAGAAGGGACTGAGGCAGACCACACCTTGTTCTTTCTTGCGAGGGTTCGGTAGTGGTCGACGGAAGAGGGCGCGGTCCGATGACAACGGAAGCAGACAGCCATTGAGTGAGGAGGAGGAAGCGGAGGGAGGGAGATATTTGAGCCACCCACCCACCCTTTGAGTTGTTGAGGTCCACACGAATAAGAAGAGGCCACCTTTGATGCCCTCCTTTTAATCTTTATGAAAGCTCGTGTGGTTTGACATAAATAAACATCTATTTGGATGTATGGCTCCTTTTTCTTTAATTAATTGTTTTTTCTATTATATTAAATTATATATCAGATGTCTTTATAAGGATTCAAATATGAAATTAATATTTATTATTATTAACTTTAAATTAAAATTTATACTCAACAAAATTATTATTTAGATAAATAATCATATCGATGTATTGCAAAGACAAAACATATGAAATTATGTTGCAATGACTGACATGTTTTCAGAAGTATAATTTTTGGCATATCATTTGCTAGTTGCATATTAAAATTGAAATGATTAAGCATCTTTGCTGGATACCCAAATTGGATGAATTGCTTTAGTGGATTAGCACACATGCATTCTTTTAAGGAAGAAGCTATTTATGAGTCAGACAAGAATGTGATGAAGTTATCATTTTCCACTATCAACTTCCCCTTCATGCGGAGGGGAACTTTCATTGTTGGTCTAAAACTGACAACAGGAAAAAAGATGGCCACACTATCTATCATATATGTCTTGACAATGATGAACATAGGCACCAAAAAACTGTGTGACTGCAACAAAAGCAAGTACATAGGCACCAAACCCATAAGAATGTTTCGACCCACTTTGCATTTGGGATTCAACCAGCACTGGATCAATGTTGCTTGTGATTGGAGTGGCTCGATCTTTACTACAATTAACTACGAACACAATATGCACAATACCAAGAGCATGTTCATGAGGACCATATGGTGTTTGTTACTCCAGGAAACACCACCATACTCTGCAAAAAAGACATGGGAATCAAGAGGGACTGGTAAGACTCGTTGCAGTAGAATTTGAATGCCAAGAACACAATGAAAATTTATGAGTCAGGGCATCAAATTTTGATTCATCAGAAAGAAAGCATGTTCTACATGTTCTACACTAGCCCTAGCATCGATCGACAAACCAGCAATAATGCAGTTGGTATCATGTCTCCAAGAACGCATTTTTGTCTCTCTTTCTCAGGCTTATAAAGTAGAATGTATCATGTCTTTATGTCATGAGTTCCAAAATGCTGTGTCAAGAAATTGCTGAAATGTGCTGCAGCAAACTCATTCTTGATTTGTTTTCTCAGTGTTGAAGATAGGAACTTGGACAGACTATTTCGGAAAGTATAAGCGTCACACAGTTAGACCCCCCGGATCACAGCATAAGGCCAATGGGGATCGCAATTGCACAGACTATTCTCGATTAGGGTTGCAAAGGAACGTGTAACGATGGATCGTGCGTACCTATTGGCCGGCGTCCTCGGGGGACCTGGCATCGAAGGGGGCGGAGGCGTGAGAATGGGCCGCAGCAGAAGCGGAAGCGGTGGCGGAAGCGGCTCCCGAGCCGTGCTGGAGTTCGATGACGAGCCACCGCACCGCCTTGCTCATCTGCTCGAGCCGGACGGCGCTGATAGGCGGGATCCCGGGGGCTGCGTCAGGGTGCCCGGGCTGCAAGCAGGCGGCGCCGGTAGCCTCGTCGACGAGGCACTCGGAGCCGATGCGTTGCTTCATGGACTCGATGAACGCCTCGGCCTCGTCGCAGGCGACGCGGAACATCTCCCACCGCTGCTTGAAGGCCTCGAGGGCGACGCCGGTGGCGGGCGCCGTCCGTCCGTCGGATTGCTCCTTGGCCTCCATTACGGCCTCCGCCGCCAAGACGAACGCGTCGTATGCTGCACTCAGCGACTCCACTTTGCTCTCCATCAGCTCTGCCCGATGCGTAGTCGTCGTCGATCAAAGAGAAGGGGTCAAACAGATGAGTATAAATAGAATCGATCGAGCAATCTACGCCGTTGATAAATGTCGGCGATCACGCACAGATCTCAAAGCAGTCACGGGTTACGACTTGCTTTGAACGTCGTGCGTAGGATCACCACAGATCATCAACCATACATGGGAACCAAATGGCAGAAGACATACAGTACGAGAATCTGAAATCACTGAGATCTTCATCCCCAGGTTCATAGATTTACTCAGCCATCTTAATCACAAGTTGCTTTGGAATCCATGCAAAGGATCACCAAAGATCATCAACAAGACCTGGGAACCAAATGGCAGAGGACACACAACAAAAGGCATTCAACACGGTTCAAGAATCTGAAAACATTGAGATATTCATCTCCAGGATCAGATTTACTCATCCATCTTAATCACAAGTTGCTTTGGAATCCGTGCATAGGATCACCAAAGATCATCAACGAGACCTGGGCACCAAATGGCAGAGGACACAACAAAAGGCATTCAACACAGTTCAAGAATCTGAAAACACTGAGATCTTCATCTCCAGGGTCAATGGATATACTCATCCATCTTAAGCACAAGTGGTAGCTTTAATAAGTAATCAGAACATACTATTGAAACAAATGTGAAGAACATCAAAACAAATAACCACAGATAGGTGAGTCAACCATGAGGTTCCCTGCTATGGAAGTTTTCAGGATCATCAATTAAAAAGATCTTAACATGCATTAAAACATCAAAGCATGATTCCTGCACATTTTCCCTTGCTCATCAATGGCTTTCATCTTTTAAACCATTCTGGCTAACTTGACCGTAAATAATGAGCATCCATGAAGATGGGGTTATCAGCAACATATGATCTTGCTAATATTCTGTTTCCAAGATCCCATCAATAAGACCAAACTCTAAGGCCTGAAAAAGTAGAATAGAATAGCTAGAATATCCAACTATGAAGTACAAGACACTGATCTAATATCAAAAGATGATGCTTGGCACTCTTAAAATATGAAAAAAATTGAATATTACCTCAGAGGCAGAGAAGAATCGATCCCTATCAGTGTACTGTTGTATTTTCTCCAGAGGTTGACCAGTAAAAGCAGCATACATTTTGTCAATTTTCTGCAAATAATATAAAGCACATTTGATTTTGATGCTTTGATCAAAACGAAGGGGGAAATTACTTGGTTATTGGTGTTATTTCCTATATCTGTTTTTGATGGCCTAAGTAGTTAGCTTGGTTTAGAACATTATTCTCCACTTCAATCCTCTTAACATTTGATCCATCATACTCCTCAAAATTAAGTGGAACCCAAAATGCAATAATGTAGATCATTCCTTTCAGTCCTGTGAGACTCATGGATTTGTAGACCAACTGGACTTCTCATAAGTTTCAACTCCAAAAGGGAGGGGGAAAGTTTCTACAAAATTGCAACATGCCATTGAAAATAGAAACTCACATGTCGCGACTGAACAGCTTCATTTACTTGACGCCTAACATCCTCCACATGACCCTGTATGTATGCACATGCACAATTTAGGTAATAATAAGAGAGGCAATATCACTGATCATAATAAGCATCAACGATTTCCTCGGTGCACTATACTATAAATCATAATAATCCATACCCCACATCCACTTTGGGGTTGATGTATCATAATGCGAGCATTAGGCATAGCATAACGCATCCCCTTTTCTCCACCAGCAAGAAGAAGCGCACCCTGGCTAGCAGCTACTCCAAAGCATACGGTTCCCACCTTCGGCTTTATCTGGTTATTTACAAAAAAAGAAACAACCATAAATTTACAATAATCAATGGTCACAGAACACCTTTTGGATAATCATTTTTCTTCCTGGAAATTTTTCAGGATTAAACTCTCAAGATAATGATCAAAATTAGCTCAGGAACAATTTACTCTACCAACATATACTCATATGAAAAATGGTAAGCCTGAACAAGATGATCATTACTATCTGAAAATTAGGATGATACTTTTGAATGTCTTGTAAAGTGCAACAAGATATTTGACTTTGCATTGGCAGTTTTGCAGACTAGAAACAGAAACATCACAGAATAACAAGAAAGATCTTCTGGTACCAAATCCATCTGTAATAGGCCCACGGAATCTGATAAAGGAAAATCAGACTTCACCTCGAAGTGTTTTGGCAAGCATTGGGAAAGTGAAAGAGCAATACAACAAAAGTGGAGACAAACCTTTTTGTCCCTGCCCTTATAGAGAGTAGGTGTCCGAGAGATGGGGAACTTAAAAATGGGAAGTCATCCTCATCTTGCAGTCTAAGTGAGTACTTTGATGACTCAAAAATTGAGCATGATTGTGTCTGAGCACTAATGTAGGACTTGGTTAAGAATGCATGAAACTTTTTAAAACTGTAAGTTAACGAGGACAGGCTTGACTAAGAAGGATAAGAAAAGGAAGTATACATGACAAGAGTAGTACATGACTGATTTTTTGGTACGAACATAATTGTTGTTATTGCCAATAGATAATTAAGAAAAGGTTCTCAATGATGAATATTGTATCTTGAATATCAGATGTGCTATACAGAAAGTTCTTTTTGTTATTAAATGCATCATTCTTGATTTCTTGGAGACTATGGCTCTAAAGTTCTTTCAGCATGAAACATATCTTCAATCTTAAATCTTGTTTGATTACACCACACGGATATTAAATCATATCTAAACATATCCTTTCTTGGTTTCCTAGGATGCTATATGTGATTCCTTTCTCACTTGCTAGGCCCCTCTAACTAAAGATGATTTATTCACTCAGAAGTTTACCCACATTTACCAGTATATTTGTTACTTGTGCAGATGTAAGAATAATATCAAACCATTTTTCTCCAGAGCTAAGAAGAGAAAAATAAATTTCTACATCATATTCTGATAAAAGCATTACCTACATCAGTCCTGGTAGGAAGGAAAATGATGTAGTCTTCAATAAGAAGTTTTTTTCCTTAAAAAGAAAATTGATGATCCCCAAAATCAACAATTTGCTCGAAAGAACTTTTTCTGAACGACGATAATGTAACAGCAGTAAACTGACTGATATAAAAATCCCACAATTTTAATAACTTACCCATGACATACAATCATAAATTGCCAAGACTGAGTAGGTACTTCCACCAGGGCAGTTAACATAGATCTGGAAAGGGAAGGGTACTTAGTCATTAGAGAAGAGGAAGATTACAACACCAGAGAGAATATCAAAAGAATCATGAAGCAGCGATGGTCCACCCAATGCATTTACAACTTTGAGCAATATACTACCAAATTTTAAACTATTACTTACCAGAATATCAGCATCTTCATCAACAGTAGCAAGCGTCACAAGTTGCGAAATAACTCGTTGTGCCACTTGCGAGTTAACAGGTTGTCCTATGAAGATTATGCGGTTGCGAAATAATATGGAGGAAAGATCTAAAGGTCCTCCTGGCGTCATGACAGCAGGCATTATAGGTGGATTTCCTTGTTTTGCTTCTATGACTGCATCATGCCTACAAGAAGGCAGAAGTCTACAATTGACAGAAATTCCACAAAAGTAGAGATAGTACTGAAAGATCTTCTTAAAGAACTTACAATAGAAAATTGTCATTTTTCTTGATAGTGAAGAGTGAACAAGATATGAGATGGCAATAGTTACTAATTGAGCCTGCCTACTTTGTTAGAGGAAATAATGGAACAACATCAAAGACTAAAGAATTTACAAATAATTTTCTGGATTTTGCTAGATAAGTGGAATAGCTTTATTGCTGCATAAATGCACGAGGAACATCCACCAGAAGTGGCGAAAGGTAGGTGATACTCACATTTAGATCTATTATCTTCCAAAAACCTAGTCTAGGGAGCAGATATAGTAGACTCATGACCTGCATCGGCTGGAGCCTCGTGCAATTGGTACGCCCTTTTGGAGTTTCTTAAATCCAAGGAAGATAATCTACCATCATCAACAATCTTAAAGTCTAAATGATTTACAATTTTCATGAATACTGCACACAAATATTCAATTGTTGCTTAAAGTTCACAGGCAAAAACATTACAATATGAGAGCTCTCATCTATTAGCAAGAACCACATTTCCATATGTATTTTTTTATTCTTGATTGACACAACAAGGATAACTACAATCTGATAATATGACAATTACCTAACCAACAATCATAAGACATAGGAGATTCAAACTAAAAAGTTAGTAAGACGATACTATTAGTCACCATTCACAACCACTAACAATCTGATGACAACTTACACTATCATGGCAATGGAAAAAGGATTACTATTCCACTTTTTTCAGTTGTTAAAACTCAAACTGTTCTAATTCAATGGAAGTTGTTATCTGTGATCTTGCATGGTGATCAAAGCTACAACAAAAGGTTCATGCTTCCATTTCTGATCGTAATGCAAGGTGAGCTACAGAACATGAAAATATTAAAGCCAAAAATTACCTTCCAAAAACATCAACTAGATGAACTTGTTGAAGTGATTTTCTATATGCCGTTGCCCAAAGAACAAAGACATGGCAAATGTTCCTGTGAATTTTCAACAATAACAAGGAAGAGCCTCATGTTTAAGTATGATCGAGGCAACAGAACCATTTTCTGTTATAAAGTAACTACAAGTTAATGCAAACCTGACCAGGCCGGCCAACCTAAGATGCTGAACAATCCATATTTGGACAATTTGGGACAATTGGCATTATCACAACGGGTCCAGCCAAAAAGGATGACTGGTGATAGTATGGCAGCCATATCGGCGTCTGATCATGCCTATTATAATCCGGAGATGTTGCTGACTAAAGAGGGAAGCTTTGGCAAGGATATGAGAAAAGCAACAGAGACCCCTATGTTGATTAGGATAGGAAGGCTTTATATTTCAAGCAGGACTGCAGTCTACTGCAATTTTGACAATAGACTCCAGGATAGCAGTCCTATCTCAACTAAGATTTGACTGAGAAATAGAGGTTATAGAGGGAATAGGATCTGTTACAAAGACCAACCAGCCACTGATCTCTTGATAAAGCAGGCCCAGACAGTTCAGAAGCAGACATCTCAGTCCTATTTGATATCAACCCAGTCCAGGGTTTCGATGAAGCTGATTCCAGCTGCCTGAAGCCCAATTACAGGCTGCCAACCCATACAAACCCCAACAAGGAATAGCAGGAAAACAGCAATAGAACTAGAATAACAGTCTCTTATAATTATTTTAGCAATTATCATATGTAATTTCGAATTAATTGATTCTAGTTTTTAATTCTTGATATAGATTAGGACTTCTTGGTGCCAGTAGCCTTATAGATATAAAATATTGCAAGGGCTCAAGGAACATCCTTGGTTTTTTCTATTTCCATTTATGTAATGAAATTAGATTGCTTTGTTGTTAGCTATCAAGAGGCTTTCTGATAGGAAGTGTTATTTCTTCTTGAAGTAATCAGGTTTCATGTTTCCATATACCAATTCCTGACTGTCAACTCGCCAATACATATGATGCTACAAGATTGTGCATTGTAGAAACCCTTCCAGATGCATCATCAATACATCAAGCTAGCCTGCTCACATTGCCCACCTATCAAACTTACAAATAAACCAAATTCGATAAACTACCAGCACAGAACTCAGCCTTCTCTGGATGCCAATAGTTGTATTGTGATATGCCCCTAAAGATCCTCCAAAGATTTTCCATGAGAATTACCTGTCTGGTACTTCTTCTAGTGCATGATCTTTTTTCCCATATATCAAATTTCCAGGGACCAAATTTTCTCTATTTATCCTTTATACAGCATCTAAAAGTCAACATCTGCATGACCTATTGTGTTTGTCAAGTAACCCTTTGCCTAATGAACAACGGACCAGTAGAGGGGTAATGTTATCCAGTCATCACCTCCACCCATAGCAGGATTTATTGTTCCAGAGACATGGATCCTGAGAAACACCTGGAGTTGGTAACATTCACTGTGTTGATGCTTAGATATTGGAATGAGATGGTGAAGAAGCAAAATCCAATCTGAGTGTCATCATGTCAAAAGTAACTATATACTAACATGTCACTAGCATTTCTCTATGATAAATAGAAGAAGATCTAAATAAATAAGCACTGTCATCCGAGTTATACAAAAGAGCAACAGGAAAAAAGAAATAACGTGCTTAACGCACCTAAAAGAACGATGTTGAAGTTCGCTGAGCTTCAAAGACAAACTGTGAACCTGATTGTTCTTTCCTACACACAAATTTGAGGAATAAATTGAAATATAAGCTCAATTGTTTCACTTTAGTACATCTACTATGACAAACAGGGACACCATCAACCATAGGAGCATGTGGCATCAAAATGGGCAGCAGCTCAGACAAAAAAGCTAAAGAAAATGATGCACTTCTTTTTAACTTGATATTTATCTGTGTGCTAACCAAGCAGGACATCTATTTCAACTCATCCAGTCTAGTCTGTCTTCCAATAAATCACAGCCAGTGAATTCTTAAATTTTGATCAAAGAATCTTAAAGCTGCAAATTTCCCCATTTTAACCCTTTTCTTGACGCTTGTACTGGAACTTCTTATCCATGAAAAACGAGAACCTCGGTAATTTATCTCACATGTTTGCACCAGCAAGCTCACAAGAAGCATGCTTTGTTTGCCCTATTAATCAAGTGGACTAAAAAGCATTACAAATATTTCCTTTTTTTCCATCAAATCTAAAAGTTTTCGGTGCAAGCACGTATCTTTACCAAGAGAAAAAGAAATTAGCCATTCACTGGCTAGTTTTTCTGTTGAGATGGAGAGGAATGCTCACCGGGGACATCAAGCGAAGCATAGGGATGGAACATGTTTCTGGGAGCAGCAAGAGGCAATTAAGAACATTAGAGAGCAAAAGAGGAGAGATCGGAAACAGAGACAAAGGGGAGTGGAAATGGAACCTGGGAGGAGCCGGTTTGATGGAGCGGGAGCGGGCGGAGGAGGATGCGGCGGCTGCGAAGCCCAAGGGCGTGGAGATGGGTACCGAGGCCATTGTAATCGCCCCCCCGCTTGTTGCGAACCGAGTGACGAGACGAGAGGGACGAGAGATGATGATTATGACGACGGAGCTCCGACGGACCGGATCGAAGCGGGCTTGCGGCCCGAGTCCAATGAACCGTTCGATCCATGTGGGTCCTTCAAACAAGGACCGGCCCACGTAAAACCGAAGAATGCTATTACGGTTCACAACCTCTTACTATTGATAATCACTTTAAAAATAATAAAATATTTTTTTATTTTATTATTTCGAATGATCCCCTATTTTATCTTGCTCTATCGACATCATCATCATCGTCACCATCAATGATGTGACTTTGCACCCATCCATATCATGTTTTTGTGGAGAACTAAGAAGAAGAACAAAAGGAGGATGAAAAGGGAGAAAAAAAAATGAAAAAGGATAAAAAGGAGGAAGAAGATGATATATATATATATATATATATATATATAGGGATAGTTTAGGAATATTAAAAATCTTAAAATGATTTTATAAATAGTAAATAGGGTCGTAAATAGTGATATCTTTTTTTAACTTTTGTTGTATATTTATATTATTTTTAATATATAATTAATTTAAATAAAAACTATTTTCCAACAAATATTTATCTTTTTGGGCTTTTTCTCTATGCCTTTTTTTATTTTTTTTATTTCGTGCCTTCGGTTTTTTTCTAATACCCTAAATATTCTCGTCATTGTTTTATTTTTATCTCGTCATGCTCGTCTTTTGTTCTATTATGATGTTTCACCATCCTAAAATTTGGATGTTTTACTATACATCATGATTCGATATTGAGATTATAGTAAGATAGCACAAGAAGAATCAGATATGATGAAAATATTAAAAATATTAGAGAAAAACACCGGATCGACGGACATTTAAAATATTAGAGGAAAACTAGGACACCAAATAAGAAAATTAAAAATAATGGATAAAAAATATTATAAAGATGTTTTTTTTCAAAAAAAAAAATTTAATTAGAAACTTACTATTTATATCCCCTTTAATAACATCGATAATCCCCTTATTATTCACAATCCCTTAAAAATAATAAAAAATTATTATTTATAATCTTTGTATAATTATATATATATATATATATATATATTTTTATTTTTTCTCACAATCATCATCTCATGCTTGTTGTTGACATATGAGAACGAAAAACAAATAACAAAACCCCCCAAACTACGTTATATGACATCACTTGTCACGCTCTCTCCTTTGTGGAGAAAAAAAAATCGCCCATTAAAAGAAATATTTTAAAAATATTAAAAAATTTAAAAGAAGATTGTGAATAATAAAGTGGGTTTACAAATAATAATCTTATTTAAATATACTTTATATATTGACATAGTAATAATGAAGTATAGCCATATTTTATTTTTAAAATATTAAATATTTTAAACTTCATGCGATAAATTTATATATAATAATTTAATGAGAAGGTACCAAATCCACTTATTTTAAGAATTCATAATATCATTTGAATTTTATATCAATGGTTGAATGTCCATATACTCACCCGACTACACATAAATAAATAAATATATAAAATATTGATCCGATTGTGATTTAGGTGCACTTGTCGTCATCCTTAATCAAGGCTTTGCTCTTAAGCTCGGGTTCGGCGGGAAAGCAGGTTTGAAGTCTGAACGCACAATGGCTTGATGCGCTAGTTGGAGCTAAGATTTCCTGTTGATCCGCCGTTAGGTTGTTGACTCCGTGAGATCAAACGCCGTGATGCCAACAGACAAATCGCCGAGAAACCTTTAGCTAAAGACAAAACCAGTCCACGTCATACAAATATGCCTTCTAATTAAGTAATTATGCCCACAAAATGAACGGCTGAGATTAAGGAATCTAGCCTCTCATCGACGAGAACCGTCATTTTACGGTCCGGATCGACCTACAACGTCGAGCTTTCGTCAGAGGAGGGGCCCGCGGTAGGCTTACGCACGGCTGTCACGCTCCCTCCTAAATTTATCTGGCGAACAACTGCCTCTATCTCTCTCTCTCTCTCTCAAAGGAAGCACATTCCCCCGTCGACCATCATCCAGCCGTAGATTTTTCACACGTCATCGATCCGAGGCTTCCGATCCAACGGATCTCGCCGACTCTTAGTCTCAATAATCGAAGCGATGGCCCCACCCACCCGGGCCTCGTGCGGACCCGGTTCTCGTCCCGGTCCGCGTTCCCGCCGCCGCTGCAGCCCTCGAGCCGCATAATATCCCCCATTTATAAAAATTCGAAATAGAACATGGGCAAATTATGGAAGTGGGAAATAAAAGGAAGGAGAGAGGAGGAGCATCTCGTCTTGTTTCGAGGGTTCTCTTGGGAGGATAAAGGTTGGGGACGAGCAGTATTTCTGCGTGGGGTTGGGTTTTTGTTGGCCAATTTCTCTTTCCTTTCGGTTCACGATTCATCTCTGTTAGTTGCTGTCGATCCACGAGCGGAATCGGAATGGTTGTTTCGATCGGGAGGAATTGATGTGCTTGTTGGTCGGTAGGGGTTTTATTTGATCAGGTTTGGTGCTTTCTATTGATCGTTTGTGGAGTCGAGGGTTTGTGGGTTTGTGGTTTGCTTGCTTTGGTAGATGGACGAGGCCTGGGAGAGGGCCGTGGAGGCGGCGCTAGGAGGTCAGACGAACTCCTCTTCGACGCCGCCGCCGCCGCGGAGCCTTACGCTGGACGGCTCCGTGAAGTGTCTCCACGGCCGGCTACCGCCGCCGGAGATTCTGGAGAGGTACCAGTCGCTGGAGCACCTCTCAATCGCTAACGTCGGAGTGTCCTCGCTGGAGAAGTTCCCGCGACTGCGGAATCTGCAGCGGCTCATTCTTTCCGACAACCGTATAGCTGGCGGGCTCGAGTTTTTGGTGGAGGCGGGGCTCGAGTCACTTCGGGATCTCGATCTATCCAACAACCGGATCCAGTTCCTGGAGGACTTGGCGCCTCTGGCTCAGCTCCGGCTCGTATCCTTGGACCTCTATGAATGCCCTGTCACGAGGATCAAGGATTACCGATCAAGGGTATTCGGAATGATCCGGACTCTGAGATATCTTGATAAGATGGATGCCGATGAGAATGAGCGACCGGAGTCTGATGACGAAGAAGAGGAGGAAGACGAAGAAGATGAGGATGAGGAAGAGGATCCTGGGAGCGGCGAGGTCGATGGTGATGATCGAGCTGGGAAATTAATGAATGGTGTCGGTACCGGTGGAGTGGGTGGGATTGTTGATGTTTACGAGGAAGAGGAGAGTGATGCTGAAGAGGAGACTGAGACTGCTAGGAGGATCGATGCCAATGGTGGGGAGCGGAGGTATAATGCATGTAATGGATTTCGGGTGGCCCCAGTCATGGCAGTTGATGGAGGAGAGGATGAGGAGGAAGAGGATGATGACATCGAGGATGATGATGAAGATGAAGACATTGATGATGATTTGGGGGAGGAGATTGATGCGGAGGAAAGGGACGAGGACGATGTGGTTGAGGTGCATGATGTTGGGGACAGTGAAGAAGAGGTGGACGGGGTTGAAGAGGAGGGTGAAGAAGAGGTGGATGGGGTTGAAGAGGAGGGTGAAGAAGAGGTGGACGACGAGGATGAAGATGGGGATGGGGATGAAGACCAGGAAGATGTTGAGGATGAAGAGGATGATGGTGAACCTGGAAGCTCAGGCAGATTGATGAGTGCAGAAGGGGAGATTGATGGCCACGAACAAGGCGAAGGGGATGAGGATGAGAATGGAGAGATCGGGGAGGAGGACGAGCAAGGAGTGAATGAAGATAGATATTCTGCAGAAGGTGATGATGATGGCGAGGATGAGGATGAGGTATAATAACTTATTGGAGCTTATTGAATGTGTACTTTGAATAACAGTTTATTCTTTCGTTGATTATTGATTGTTTTGATTTTTGTACCAGGCTTAGATGTTATGGATGTGCAATTGATTGTTATATCTTTATGTTGCTATATGGTATTGGCATTTTCAATATCTTTTATAAGTTATGCCTTTAATTTAAAGATTCTGCTTTTGTTCTCTGATTAACAGTGGGTTTTCAGATATGAAGAGACATAGTTGTTTAAATTGAATTGCTATCACATCATATTTTCTACTTATCACCTTATCCGATGGATTTTTGTCGAATGATTTGTTTATTTCTTGTTATAATAAATAAAAAATTGTATTAACTAGGAGAATAGTTTGTTTAGCAGTCTATGTTGTAGTGGATCATGAGCCCTTAAATTATTGCCGCAACATTAGAGCATTGGTTATGAGTAGCATTATACTAGAATTGTCTTTTCTTTACATGGTGATTCTGAATCTTATATATCGAGTATTTATGAGTTTGATTGAAAATGGTATCGTATTGGTTCTAGAATATGTTGATTAGTCTAGTATTATCTTTTACTGTTTATGAAGCTTTGGACTATGTATTGTCATCTATATCTTTGACACAACTTTTAATCTTCTTCTTTGGATTATTGCAAGGTTGCAGTATGGAGAGGTGACCTATATTTGTAAAAGCCTTCTCGAGAGCTTGACCATTCTTGTGGTTAAATTTAGGTGTTCTCAAATTGCATGATCTAACTTACATATTATCTGAGAAATGAGAAACAGATACAAACTGTCATTATTTGTAGCAATTATTCAACATATATTGATATTCACCTCATGTTGTCAAATCAATAAAGAACCTAGATTCAACACAAAAACATTTCCTAATCGCGATGGATTATTTTGTTTGGATCTAGATTCAGACAAATTGTGCTTGAATGTGATGCATGCCTTTGCATGTCTGAAAGAGAGCCATCTTGGTCTTGAAGGCTCAGCATGAAAATACTGGTTTCTTGCATCAATACATTTATGATGTACTGGTCAACCATAGATTGTCCCAGAATGTTTTGGTTTGGCTGATCATTTTGCCTAGCTGAGTGAAACTGCTTCATGTGCTTGTTCTATCATTTGTAGCCATGATATCGACTAATCAGTTCTGCATTGCAATACATGCTGTTGATTCAGAAATCTTTTTTTTTCTCCTGTAAGTTAAATGTTTGTTGGTTCAACTTTCTTTACATGTTTTTTTCTTGCTCTTTGTTGCTGTTCATGATAGAATTTTCTTATTTTTTTCTTTGCAGGATGATGATAATGATGGGGAATATCTCGTGCAGCCGATTGCTCAACCTGCCACAGCAAGAGTTGATTTTGATGCTTGCAACCAAGAAGATGAAGATGAGGTTGACGATGATGAAGATGATCTTCACAGCAACATTGCCTTGCAGCAGCAGCCTTCTTCCGCTTCTAATCCCAACAAGAGGAGGAGAGGGGAAGAAGACGACCTGGATGATGACAGTGTTGAAGACCTGAGGCGCTCCAAGCATCCTTGATGATGATTCACCAGCAGCCTCGTAGGACATGGTGGGTGTTTTTCCCTTAAAAGTTTGTGTAGTTCAAAGGCTGGGGGGGGGGGAGGGAACTAATTCTCTAGCTGGTTTCTTCCTTGCTCATTTCAAAAGTTCGGTAGTATCCTGTCAGCGCATGTTTTCCCGTCTAGCCGTTGGAACCCTTGCTTTTCAAGTGACAGTTATATATGCATATACCAGTGGCCAGAGTTTTTTCCCTCCAAAACCAAGCACCAAGTTCAAATGCGAGAGACATTTGGTCGTTCTTTGGTATATGGCCGGGAGTACCAGCTCGATCTCAACTCGTTTCTCGTTTATTTCATCGAACACCTTGTGTGCGCGTGATGTGTTGTCATATGCTTTGTTAGCAGGCGTCGCTGCGGTACGGTTGCGTCGGGCGAGTTGGGATGAACCTACCTGCATCAGCGCCCGCAGCAACAAGTTGGTAAGCCTCGTGGTCTTTTTGGTCTTTCCAAATATTCAACAGCTGGTAATGGCAGCTTTACATGGACCATGGGTGCTACCCCGGATGTCGTCTAGGAGTGTATTTTGTCGAGTTCGGGACAGCCGTGATGCGTGAAATCGACGCAACTTTAATTACACGCCATGGCTGATGCCCACACTCCACTGGTGAACTATTCGTCCTTTCTGCACCATTCACGTTACCCGTCTCACTCGTTGGATCATCTACGATTGTCTCCTTTTCCTGATGCCACAATTTTCTTTTTTGGACTTTAATATCAACTTGGAATAATTGCTAGTTGCTCTGCATAAAATTATCACATGGTGATCTGGTTTGGGTTTGGGCAGTTGTTGGGAACAGGAACCTAGACTTCTTTTGTATACGACTTGTTTGACCCAAAGCCTGTTTTGCAGGTCTTCATATCGAGTCTGCCTTGGGCGCGGTCGTGTTCAATTAGACTCAACCAAACCCACCCGGAAGAAGATGAGCGGTCAGGCTCCACGAACACGGCCCAGGGAAGCGACCTGCGCCTCCCGCCAGCTTCCGGTGCCCTGCTTCGCTCTCCTAACCGCTCCGTGCTAGGCCAAGGACACCGGGGGCAGCGGAGCTGGTTCGACTGCTCTCGCGCCCGGTGATTGGTATCTCCCTACACACGCCGCAGACCACGGGCTGCGACCTGCCGCCGTGCCCGGCCGGTCGTTCGGGGCGCGGAGGGGTGGAACTACTACCTGTTGGCGGCCAGCGTCGTGCGGTGGTCGCTCTACATCAAGGCCAAGAATTCGTCGGGGCCGCCGGCGGGGCCCTACGGGCTACTCGGCGCCGCCCTCGCCATCGTCGCGGCCTTTGGCTTGCAGTGCTTTGTTAGAGCTTTCCATCTCTTCTCTTTGCAAAGCCATCATCTCATCGTTCTTTTATATGTTCGAGTAGAAGTCAAATCATATAGTCACTTCGTTTCTTTATGGTGCCATATCAAGATCATTAAATTAATCTTTTAACTACCAAAAAAATTATCATTTGTCCCTGTAAAATTGATATGACTTCTATTAAATTTTAATTTGACGTTCGCGGACTATAATTTATGACTTTTTCTTTATTAACATTTGAAGCAAAAATAAGATACATGATGGTGATTTTTGGCATCGTGAAGAACATATTAAAAATTCGAACGTAATGTTGTATTAAGAAGCAAGAAATGGAGAAACTGAGAAAAAAACGTTTCGCAATAGAAGAAAAACAAAAACAAAAAGCATGGGTCATAACAAGGAGTGACCGTTCGGATCGGACGCAGATATCGTATGATCCACGTGGTCCGTTGGATTTGCAGCCTCCGCCTCCATCCACCGTTCACGGTTCCGCATTTTCTTCCCCTTCGTCCACCGTTCGCAAAGCGTATGTATTCGCATTTGCCTCCTATCTTAAATCACGCGACTGGGCTTTGGGCCATCTTCCCTAGGTCGTAGCAAAGGAAGAACCCTCGATCGAGCCGAGACTTCGTCGACGGAACCATTCGATCCTTCCCCCTCGTCGATCCCATCGGATCTCGCGACTCCGACATGGCTCAGCCCTTCGTGAAGAAGGACGACGATCTTGACGAGGAAGGTGATCTCTCAACCCTAATCGATCGCTCTCTGATGTTCTTCTGTAGAATCAGTGGTTTTCTTCTAGATTTCGTTGTCGTTTTCGCCCAAAATTGTTATTCGAATTTAACCATCCGACGTATTGCACCAAAAGCTTCCGGGTGGATCCGCCGCCTTTCGACTTAGATCTGTGTGGAAAACCCTTTGTCTGCGAGATTTTAGAATGGATCTGATGCGGTTGAGATGTTATTTCCTGGTGTAGCGATGGAATTAGCCTTCTTCGCTCCGTTTCATGCAATGTAGTGCTTTAGCCTTCTAGATCTTGCTGGTATTTGATGCGTGGAGAAAATTATTGTTCTTGAAACGTCAAACTGTGCTATCATTTCGATCTGAGCTGGTGTTTGGAAAGATTAAGAGTATTGATATCGTTGTTTTTTGTTGCAGAGGAATACTCTCCCTTTTATGGAATAGAGAAAGGCGCAGTACTCCAAGAGGCCAGAGTTTTCCACGATCCTCAACTCGATGCCAGAAGATGCTCGCAGGTAAGCTTATCCCAAATCCAGATCTGTGCTGTTATGCATGTATAATTATGTTGAAATGGACTTGGAATCATCACTTTGATGCTGCATTTACAGGTTATCACAAAGCTTCTGTATTTGCTTAATCAAGGAGAAACATTTACCAAGGTGGGATCCTGATACTGTCTGATACATTTGCAGCTTTTGTTGTGCCTGAAGTCTTTCACATCTCGAACTTTGTAACATTATGGTCCTCTTTCTGTGTTGTAGGTTGAAGCCACGGAAGTCTTTTTTGCTGTGACGAAACTGTTTCAATCAAAGGACACAGTTCTTAGGAGGATGGTTTACTTGATGATTAAGGAACTCTCACCCTCTGCAGATGAGGTTAGGTGACAATAATTTGTCTTCAGTAGATTTGTGATTTCTGTAACTTATGGTTCAAGGAGTAACTTGTTGACTGATTCCATGTAGGTTATTATCGTCACAAGCTCATTGATGAAGGATATGAATAGTAAGACTGATATGTATAGAGCCAATGCTATACGAGTCCTTTGTAGAATTACAGATAGTACTCTACTTACACAAATTGAGAGATACTTGAAACAAGCGATCGTTGACAAAAATCCTGTTGTTGCTAGTGCTGCACTTGTTAGTGGAGTTCACTTGCTTCAGGTGCCCTTGCCTCTCTTTTCATCATGTTAATGGTTTACTTCCATGTTTAAGTTTTTCATTTCTGTTAACCTAAAAACAGACAAACTCGGAAATTGTAAAAAGATGGAGCAACGAGGTTCAGGAAGCTGTTCAATCAAGAGCTGCTCTGGTTCAATTTCATGCACTTGCACTTCTTCACCAGGTGCTTTATTTTATAGTGTATTAATATGTTAAAACCCTAAATGTACTTAGAAATCTGCATTCTTTCTTACGTAACTTCTGACAGTAACACCAATATTGGTGGGAATTGCATCAATTGTTTCATAAGTATGCACATGGAACCATCAAACCTACTGAAAGGGGTTAAAGTGGGTTGGATTATATGTCAGTCAGTATGTGTTATCGTCAGATTGGTTCTAGAAATGGTTAAGTCGTGTCTGTCAATATGTCCATATTCATATTCAATTTTTGGTATCTGAAATCTTCCAGAATCAAGTTCAGTATATATTAAAGAATTAATCTATAGTATTAACTAAGTTAAATTGTTATTTTATTTTTTTATGCATATTGTATAATTTTTCTTGTTCGTCAATTTCTTATAATATCTTTTAAAGCTTTCTTATGAAAGAGATTCATAAAATTTGCATTGCTTTCTTAGTTATCTGTTGATGTGTATTTAATTTATGTGTTGCCACTTTTTAAGCTTCATCATTTAGTTTTAATAAACATATTAAATTTCAGTGTTCTTTTCCATTCCTACAGCATATATTCAAACAATATAATCTATTTTGATTGGTCAAGATGACTTTAAAAGTTAATGTAATTATGTTTGCAATCTGTGTAAAATGAACTTTATTTTAGCTATATTTGTCTGGTCTTCTATGTAATAAGTTGTGTGTTATCAGATTATAAGATGGGTCATAATCTAGACTTATATTGTTTGCTCCCTTGTTCATGTTATATTTACTACTTCAACATGATCATTTTAATTTTCCATTTAAATCCACTTGAACAAATTGGCTTCTACTTGCAGATAAGACAAAATGATCGCCTGGCTGTTAGTAAGCTGGTTACTAGCTTGACAAAAGGTTCAGTGCGGTCACCTTTAGCTCAATGCCTTCTGATACGATACACCAGCCAGGTATTTTCTCAGTGTTTGACATTAAGCATAACCAATATATAACTTACTAACTTGGATATATTGTCAGGTAATTAGAGAATCAAGTATGAATACACAAGCAGGCGAGCGCCCATTTTTTGATTATCTTGAATCTTGTCTACGACATAAATCAGAAATGGTCGTCTTTGAAGCAGCAAGAGCAATAACAGAGTTGAGTGGTGTGACCAGTAGAGAGTTGACTCCTGCAATAACTGTTCTTCAGTTGTTTTTGAGTTCATCCAAGCCTGTTCTTCGGTTTGCAGCTATTAGAACTCTAAATAAGGTGATTATAGCTTTCAATTTTGATTTTAGTTTTTCTCCATAAACTGTAATCATATGCTTCCCTTATTACATCCAAGAAAGCACTTTTGCGTTTTCTCTTCTGCTTTTCCATACTTAATCGGTTATTTCTATATTTAAAGTTATACTCAGTGTTTGGAAACTCAAAATGACAAAAAAGGGCATATAAGAGAGCAGAACTTTGATGCTAAATTGTATGAGGAACCTTGAAATGCCTATGTTTTACAAACTCTTGTAGAGTGTTTTCTTGTGTTATTATATTTTAGGAATTTCACAATAAATTCTTTTGCAAATATATGAAGCAACTTCAGTGATACAAGTGAAATTGGGACCCCAAAAAAATAATAATAATAAATAATATATATATA